TAATTAAGTTGCATTAGATGGACAAAAGTCTAACTATCTCAACTTTGGATTTTAGTGGCATCAAGTGTTGCAGTTGCACCTAGTTTGCCATGCTCTGTCTGAATAATGTAGAAGCAGCATTGACCTCTTCATTTTTTCCCCTTTTTTGCATGTGAAGTTGGAAATTTAAGACGCCACAATAAAAAAAAAAACATATAGTTGCTGTTGCTCTAGCTGGGGCTTTCTTTCCTGCGTCAGTTTATGGTTTAAAAACAGACCTCCAGAGCTTTATGTCATGCTGCTCTTCTTCAAAAATACATCACCTAATTTAACAGACCCTGAGGTAAGTTTGCGGTGAAGAAGGGAGGAGGACTGAGGGATGATTTCGAATGCTGCCGGAGCAAAAGAGGGGGGCATATCTCAGACAAATAACGTGAATAATTATTGGAAATAATGTCCAGATAGATGGAGCAGGGCCAAATTATGAAATCATGCGCTTCTCTCCGGTACATCACTGCGCTCATTATTTGAAGTCATGCTTGGAAAAACAGGTGTTTCCAATACAGAGGCCTTCATTTTCTGATGATGGCTCAGATATGATATTTCATGGCCGGAGCTGTACACATGATAGGAAGTGATTGGGGAGAGCCGTACAGAAAGACATGCGTGTAATGGACGCTGATTGGCCCCCGGCTAAATCCCTGGAGCCTCGGAATGTGGAACAATAGGGAGAACCACAAAGCTGGAGCGGTAATGAACCTAAACTCTGCGTGTTTTTCCTGTCTTTCTTCTCTTGGAGGTTAAAATGATTACCAGAGGATTTCTCTGTCCTTTTAAACAGGTGTCTTATTTATGTGCATCGGGTAAACCAGCCGTGTAGCAGAGCGCGGTTGGCACATGAGCTAAAAGCCGTCTTTCTCTATAATAAACAGAACCAGCAGGGAGAAAATTTGTCTTTTTGGGTCTTTTTCCTCCAGTTTGCTTTATGATGGATGCATTACGTCAGCGTTTGAAGCTGGGGTCTGTGATGTGGTGCAGAGCAGATGTGTGTGTGTTTTAAAAGCAGAGAAGTCTCTTATGAGATTAATAATTGTGTCATTCTTTGTTATTGAAGCCTGAAGAGTTAGACAGTCTGAAATATAGTTCTTGAGTCTACCTTTTAATGGTAAAATATGTATCACAGTTTATTGTTAAATGAGGAAACAGCTGTGCGGGTCAATAAAAAGTCTTGTTCATGTTTTAATGATTTGTAGATTTTCTGTTGTAAACACCATAATCTCATTTGTTTGACAATTTACTCAATATGTTCAGAATTAGCTTCCACTTGGAGCTCCTGTTTTTTTTAGGGTTTCAGTAAATAGATTTGCCATGGAAATAGCAATCAAAACATCAATACTTTGTTGTTAACGTTGTCGTTGGACCATTTCAGGGAGTTAATTAGCTCCACGTTTTTTGCCGGCGCAGTAAGAAGAAATGCTGCAGATGTTGAATAGTAACCGCCCCCGTAAGAAAACACAAAGAAAGTAAAATGCTGCGAAACACTAAACTAATCTTTATGATAAACCGTTGATTCCTTTTTGTGTGTGTTAAAGTAGCTGCTGTTGAGACATTTTTTGTTGGTTTGTCTGTTTTTATTCAAATGCGGCATTTAGACTACGTTACACGTGCCCGGCTATTTTCATTAACAGACATTTAACCTTCTCCATTTACAAAAAAAAAAAAAAAACTGCATGCACACCACTACGTTTTCAGAAAAGTTTTTGTTTACACTAACCCATGTATATAAGCCGTCAAGAGCATATCAAACATGTGGGCAGCAGTGTAGCGAGAAGCTCAAGCCAACGTTAGCCAATCAGAATCCTACATAGAAGCAACAACAACAACATCCCTTCCTTCTTTCCTGCGCACAATCTGCTGTCGGCTACCCAAATCTCTGTTTTCCTCCGTTCACATGCAAAAGTTTTCCAAAATCTCCACTCTGAGTTTTTAAAAAGCATCGTTTTCGGGGGCGAATTCTCCTTTTGTGTCTAAACGAAGGGTGCAAACGATAGTTAATGTCATAACTAGAAAGTGCGAAGAGCAGACCTTTGTAACTCATTCTTCGTCTGTTCTCCCTATTTCACATGATATGAATCAGATAGATGTTCCCGAACCTCTGTATGGGATATGTGTTATAAGATATATTCGTGGTTCTCCTTTTTTCAAGTTTCTACCGTCAAAAACATCTATCTGCACAAATTAACATGCGCACAATTACAGATCTTCTGCTTCTACTTTATCTTCCAACAAGAGAATTTTGTGCGGTTCCCACCGATAACAAAAATGTTTTTGATACTTGTTTGTCCATCGTGAGCTACAGTAAAAATATGGCAGCGTGAGATGAAGGAGAACCCTTTCCTGCGTAATTTTAAGAGACTTATTCTGAATTAATTAGGGTGACCATATGTCCCTTTTTACCCGGACATGTCCTCTTTTTTGGGGGGCTGTCCGGCCTCATCTAGGAAGTTTATAAAATCCTTCAAATGTCCAGGGTTTTGCATGGAAGTTTCGAGTTTGTATCACGTGGACTTAATGAGTTAGAAGCACGTAAAAAAAAAACACCCGATCCGAACCGAAAAACTCTCAAAATTAACTTCATGCGACTCGGCCCCCGCGTAGTTGTTTCCACTTTTGGGGGATTAAGAATATGCTAAAGTTAACCAATACAAAATGATTTTTATACTCCAGTGAACACACACTAGTTTCAACATAAAATATGAAACTCACAATCCATTTCAACAAAGTCTGCTAAAAGCTACAGACTGTACCTTTAACTCCTGAGCCAAACTGGTGCTCTGACATCTGTTTTATTTTAAAGTAAAAACCAACAGCTGACCGAGAGGAAAGAATCAAACCACGTACATGAATTAAAACGTTTATTGAGCTTTTTTACGTGCTTGGCACCTGTATTTACATTTTTTCAAAATGCCTCAAAAAATTTTGTAATTTCCCTTTTTTTCACACATTTTTATAACAGATGGACCTGTAAAATGTTATACTGCTCAGCACTTAAATACACATCTCTACAACACACCAAAACATACTTTAATTACTCTGCTTTACTATTGCTTCTTTTATAACTTTTCACACAACAACTTTAAGCTTATGTTATTGATTGCATTCGCCATCTTTATATATATGCCAAAAAACATAATCCACTCAAAAATAGGGAAGCTGTAGCAGTCTGAGAGGAGGACGGGTGGATGAGGTTATTCTGAAGTCCATTTCCTCAGTTAACTCAAACTTCTGCGTCCATGTGAATTAAACCCTGTTTTGCACATCAGCGGGAGCTGCAGCGTTTGTTGTCTGTGGAGCCGTGATCATGTCCAGTCGTTTCTTCATCTCCAACTTCAATCCCATTGACCACTTAATACTTCTACAACGATAAGGCACGAGTGCTGCGTGAATCACAGTGAAGATTCTTTGGTTTCAGTCCGTCCTGATCGGTTTGAGTCCAAAACACAAGAATGAGTCTCTTGAAATGAGTGTTAATACTATTGCACCATATTCAAAACAGAAAAAAAACACCCCGGTTGACTTAAAGTTGACTGAGTGTGTTGTTTCTCTCCTATCAGAAACAGTGAGAGTAAAGTTACACAACTTCTAACTTTATTCATACAAAGATAATTAGTTTCGACTCCCTGTTTAAGGCTTTGTAAAACCTCAGTTCCACAAGAGTTTGGATGCTGTGTAAAATATTAAGCAGAAGAATTTGATGGTTGGAAATTACATAAAGCCTGGAATTAATTGGAACTAGTGCAGAGTTTACATTTTAAATAATGAAACCAAAATATTTGATTTTTATTAAAGAATAATATGTGTGTGTTTGAAGTTTAATGCCAGTGGCACATTTTCAAACAGTCGGGACAGGGAGGATAAAATAATGAAAGTTTTGTGAGGAAATCAAAACCCTCAGGTGGCACTGCGTTAGAAACAGAAATGACTCTGAAGTGGAAATCACAGCATAGGCACGAAAGCACTGGCTAAAACCATTGCGTGTGAACTCAGTTTGTTGCTGCGTCCACAAATGCAGGTTAGAAGTGTACCGCCAAACAGGAAACCATTTCTAGTCCTGATCCAGAAACGCAGGTGACTTCTCAGGGTTCAACTGAGCCCATTTGTGATAAAGTGAGGTGAAGTGGGAATCTCTTGGCATCCTCTTAGGAGAGCATGAACACCTCTGTGCTGCGTTCAAGAGTAGCGATACCACCTGCTTTTTATCAGCACTCACTTCAAATGCCAGCATCTGTGGGGGTATGTGGATGCATGGGGCCCATAGAATGGGTAGCTTACACATTTGAGAGGGCAACATTAATGTTGGATTATAAATACAGGTTATGGAGCAACTCATGCTGCCATTCAGACAATCCCTTTTTTCAGGAAGGCCTTACATAGTCGAGCAAGAAGTCAAGCTACATTTTGCATGTGTTACAAAAGCATGGCTCTGTAGTAGAAGAGTCCTGCTGTCTGTAGTGCTGACTTCTCACCTATCAAATAAATGGGTGCATCTTAACAGAAAAAAAAAAAACACAACAAAAGAGACCACCTACTGTTGAGCAGCTGACATCAGGCAAGACTGGGACAATGTTTCACTGGTGGTAAAAGAAGAGGTGATGCAGCCCCTGTCACAGCTGTTTGAAACTTGTTGCTGGTATCAAACTAAAATGAGCGAATATTTATCAAATATCTGTCTTTTTTTTTTATTTTTCCACAATTTTCAATCAAATATTAGCTTTAAATGATCGTCAAACCAGGAGAAGTGATTTGTATGAACATTTTACACAGCATCCTAACTTATCTGGAACTGGCGTAGTAAGTGGTGGAGTGTCTAAAAAAACAAAAACTTGAGATGATTTCCTTTTTTGAAAGGTTAGTTTTGCACCTCAGCGCATTAACACTTGTGGTAAAAACACTAAACCTGCTTCATAGGTTTGCTTTTCAGCTGAAAGACTTTAGAGAGCTGTGAGGTTAGATGTCTGTTTCTACACCATGTGCATGGACATCTGAGAAGAGGAGCTGTACTGACGTCCATCACAGGAGCCACCGCCTTGTTGGCCTCCAGTGGAGTTGCCGATCATGTGCATAGAGTCCATGCCTCCGTTGGACAGGTACTGACGCTCAGCGAAGGCTCCAGCAGGTGATGAGGAGCAGAGCAGACCTCCCTGTGGTTTCTCAGGACTGGCGGCCAGGCGGGGGGAGGTGGGGAAGTTGTATCCGTACAGGTTGTAAGGGTTGTGCAGGGAGAACGCGTTGTAGGAGCCCTGCTGCACGTGGTGATGACTCCCGCTAAACATGTGGGCGGAGGAAGGGGAGGATCCTGATGAAGAAGAGGAGGCAGAGGTGGAGCTTCCTCCGGCCTGCATCACATACTGAAGCTGAGACGCTGGGAAGGAGCCTAGCTGACCGCTGTAGGCGTCCATCTTTCCTCCAGTGCTGCCGCCACTCCCGCCGCCAGTCAGGGAGGCGTGAGCGCTGCCCTGCATGCCAGCAGCGATCAAAGAGGAAGTCCTCTGCGGCAGGAAGGATTCAGATGGCTGAGCAGTCGCCACAGCTCCCCCTGCAGCCTGGAGACGTCCGTAGGAGCTGTCAGCCAGGCCGCCGTAACCCTGTAGGGCAGCCATGTTGCTGCGAGCGCAGGCTGGGTACTCAGACAGGCCCAGGTTACAGAGCTGACTCTCCCTGCAGCCGACATTGAAGGTGTTGGGGGCGAGGTGGAAGGTGGGAGGGGAGCAGGAAGGAGACAGGAGGTGAGCTGCACCTGAAGGAGAGGGAGTTCCTGTGCTGGAGGTGGTGGGAGAAGTGCCAGTGCTTCCACCTGAAACAAACGCAGATATAGAGACACTCAAACACTTGACTGACTTTGAAGAGCAGAGGTGTCCAAAACTTCTCTGCAATATTTTTTAGCCACATATCATCAGTGACATAAATATACGTCCATGTGTCCATGTTCATCCCCAGAAGAAGTCTTACATGCAAAACCCCTTTTTGTTTCTTAAAGGGACATGAAATGTGCGTCACTTTAGCATCTCTTTCTTCCCTTATCATAAAGAGTTGATGTGTTTGGTTAGTTATGGGAAAGAAAGAATTTCATTATGAGTATTTTACATGTGACTGGAAAAAAAAGCCTCTTGGGTGGAGATCCAGTTGGACCCATTAACTTTGCGTTTTCATGTAAGGGTCTTTAAAACTCCTATAAGGAGTTTTTGGACGTGTATGAAATAGACTGAAATTCTTATTGATGCCTATTCATGGTATCTGAGCACAAACGAGATTATCCCCACCACATTATCTACAGTATTTCATGTTTTTTTTATTACACAAGATATTCACAATAAATGTCATATTTCACTGAGGGAAGACTGCTTTGTCCACAGGGGGCGCTAAAACTGATACAAACTGAAAGTTCCTCACAGAAGTTTTAAATTGACTCATAAATAGGGTGACCATATGTCCTCTTTTACCCGGAGATGTCCTCTTTTTGGGGGGCTGTCCGGGTTTGTCCGAGTTTGTCTGTCTTTGTCCGGGAAAGTTTATAAAATCCTTTTAATGTTCGCTGTTTTGTACAGAAGTTTCAAGTTTGAGTCACGTGGACTTACTGAGTGAGAAGCATGATAAAGACACTCGATCTGACCCGAAAAACTCTCAAAATTGTGTGTGACTTCGTGCGACTCCGTGACTCCACCCCTGCATAGTCGTGTCGTCTTTTTGAGAAGTCAGAATATGGTCACCCTACTCATGAGTACATGTTGTTTATTTCATGTAGGCTCAGCAGCTTTCCATTTTCTATTGTGTGGCAGTAGAAGCTCGGCTTTCAAAATAAAACATTTTGTAAATGTATTTCTGTAGTGTTAAAAAATGAGCAAATGAATTCTTCTAACCTCTGGAAAAGTTTTAGTCTCTGTTCTCTCAGTGTGAAAACATTATAATGGGAATTTTGTCTAGACTGCAAAGAAGTAAGTAGTTATCATCAGTTTTACTCTGTGTATAAAAGGCATTTTGAATATTTCTGCTTTTTGCTCATTTTACCGGCATGTTGCAAATTTTATGAATAGTTTCGGATCATAACCTTTAAACTATTTGTGCAGCCTTTCCCTCCAAATCTGTATGTGCGCAACATCATTAAATCTATATTTGACAATTGAGTTGTAACCTCTGTCTGATCGCCAGTACGTAAATAAAGAGCTGAATTTTTATATATACTGTACACACTCAGCCAGAGGGGAAAAACAGGGTTTATGTATCAGAGAAGAAAAATCAAAGTTGGCACAGATTATATCGCTTCAAAGTCGAGCCTTTCAGAGTGAAATGATAGCTGTGGGATATCAATCACATATTTCTCGATTAATGAGAATCTGGCCGGAGTTCATCTTGCTGTTGGAGAAATTCAGCTTGACGCGACTGTGGGGAAGAGGCAGAACTAAATAATCCAGGACTTGCTTGGCTGGGGTTTTTGGGTTTGCACCATATGCGTTCGATAATATGGCAGCAGAAAAAGACGAAGAAGAGAAGGGGAAATTATGAAGAGGAGGGGGGGAATAAAGAAAAAGGGTCGAGGGAGGGGGAGAAAGAGAGCAAGGTGGAGGTATATGAGAACAAAAAGACAGAAAGGGAGGATGAGAGTTTGGTGATGTCATGTTTTCCTTTAGTACGAGAAGCTCAGGGGAGAAGAGTTGATTACTTGGAGGAAAAAAAGCCGCCCGGTGCTTTGAGGGCAAACACACGCACACACGCGTACTGTCGAGTCCCACACATGTAGAGCCGTGTCCTTTCAGGGTGACACAGGGTTCACTGGCGACGCACAGACTTTGATTAAATCCTCATTACTCTGGACGCGTTTAATGATAACAAACATATGTGCGCCTGCTCGGACAAAGTCGCAGCCTCACGTCATGCTGACCTGCTGAGGTAACCGAGACAGAGTCATTGAGGAAACAAGGTTCCTGTAGAGCACCAGTGGCCCTCGATAGGAGCCATGAACCGGTCCTGGAGCTGAGATAAAAGGAGGTGGCCCCGGCTGACACTGGTTGGTGTCGCCGTGCTGTCCAAAAGCCACAGAATTTGTTGAACAGTTTTATTTTGAAGGGCTGCGAGCGATGTTAAAAGTTCAGTAGATCCTGGACGACGTGCCAGAGAAGCAGTGTATGGCCAAGCTCAAATGAAGGACAAGCAGAGCTGAAGCAGTGTGGGGTGATATATGCAGGGAAAATATGCAGAGAGAGAGGTCAGGCTGGGACAGAACACACCAAGGTCATGATTACAAATTAAGACCACTGCGAGTTTTGGAAATTGTTAAATTTCCAGTAACTGAATGTTTTACCACATTGTTAACCTTTAAAAACAGTCAAAGTAACTTTATTTGTGGAAAACTGCTGTTTTTTGATATTGATGCGTAAATAAATCCTTGGAAGAAGAGTTTTATGCTGACAAGTCGACGCGCTTACATGAAAATAAGTGGTATGAAATGCGATAAAAAGTCATTAAAACCCTTGGAAAGTTTCATTTGGTGGCTCTGTAAAGAGGCTGCTTAGGATTTAAATAACTGACAAAATAGAAAATAATCTTTATTCTTTAGTTTTTCAGCCATCCAGCAATGTGAAAGTCATTGATTAGGCTCTTGTCTGTCTGAGTTGCTAAAATGGAACAAGTTCTGTGAAGATTTTGCAGATAGAAGCCATTTTATCCTGAAAAAGCACCTTATACCTTAAACAATTGGTGTTAAAATGTTCCAGGATTGATTGTTTCCCGTTTTCTAATGTTTTGAGGCATTTAAGAAAATGAAACATGTGAACACTGACATGTTTTCTCTCCCTACAGACAGATGATTGTTTTTCACACACCTTGCTGCTTCTGCATGTTGGTGAAATCTTCAAACGTCAGGGTCCTCACAGGAGGTCTCCAGAAAGCGTAAGTCTCCATGATCGCCTCCAGTCCAGTCCTGACAGAAATACAAAAACAGGCATGTTTAGTGTTACAAACAAAATTTTCATACCTGGTGATGCCGATAGCTATCTTTTAAGAGATTATCTGCTGATACTGATATTATGCTGACGGAATTGTGCAACCCTGATAACCACATGCAAGGTCAGCGGCCCAAAAACACCATAGACACACATGGATGGAAAATGAGTCAGTATTGACCTCTGTGTGCATGTTGATGATTTTCGTCATTATTTATAGTTTTTTTGAGTTTGACATCTTGTCTTTGAAAACCTCTTTGAAAACTCTGACCCATGTTTGTATCTGGATCCGGAATAATCTTTCAACTTCTGCACAAGCCTGATTCACTTTGGTTTATCTGATAGACAAGCCATCTTTTACAACAAAAGCTGCGTAACCTGATTTGATTTGATGTTTTTCATGTTGTTGTTGCTTTGTGTGAAACTTTTTTTTATTTTGCACTTGAGAAAAAACTATTTAAGTTGATAAAAAGTGTTGAAAAATGCTGAAAACAGCAGTTTTAATGCTCAGTTTCTTCCTGAAGCTGTTGCACCATTTTAAAACAAGTTGGATCATACGATTGCCACTTTTTTTTTTTTACAAAAATATGAAGCTTTAATGTTTAAAGCACACTTTTGTTTTTGTGGGAGCCATGAGGAAACATTTGTCAGGATTCAGCCTGACTAATTCATTCAACCTGACTATTTCTATTGTTATAAAATACTTACCAACAATGTAATTCAACAAAAATGTCAATTTAATGACATGATCTTACTTCCAAAACAGTGTAGATGGTCATTTCTATTCTGGTTTTGCTGTATTATGTTATCATTTGTCAAATTTACAGATTTCTTTTTATTGTAAGGCAAAGAGGTGAACAACAGAGAAAACATGAGCTAAAAATTTGAAGTAAATCATTATATCAGAGACAAGAAGAGACAAGAAAGTGATCTGAGTGCATGTGTTTGAATGAGAGAGAGAGAGAAAGAGAGAGAGAGAGAGAGAGAGAGAGAGAGAGAGAGAGAGAGAGAGAGAGAGAGAGAGAGAGAGAGAAGTGGAAGGACTAAGAAAGAAAGAAAGAGAGAAGGGGAGGGAGAAACTGGACTCCTGCTCAGAGGAAACTAGAGCCATTAAAAAGGAGCAGCTTTTAACTGTGCACATAAATCTAGGTGACGTTTCATCTTGAATCTGTACACGGTTCTCCTTCCTACTTGATTTACTTCTCCTCTCGGCCCCCGTCACCGCTCACCATGTTATTTTAGGGCCGCTGACTCCCCCGGCCGTGGCAGCTCGTTAGTGCGCCGTGCTAATCGTCCAGGCCCTCGCCATCACTGCTCTCATTCATACAATCACACTGCTACGGGACCAAAACCCAACAAATGAGCTGTATCCCTCCGCCTGGTTATAAAGCCCAGTCAGCAGACAGAGGCGACGACTGCACCATGACTTAGAGCCTGCGACACGTCTATTTTTAAGGCGCCATTAAAGTCAGAAAAAGGAAAACAAGCTGGTGCTTAATTTGAGAATTAGCAGAGCGGGTTTGCCCTTTATTTTAATCTTGAATTTCCCCTCAATGTGGAATTAGTCAGTAATGTTCCACAGCTTTACTTCTACACTCCACAGAGCTGCATGTTGGGGTTTTTGAAGACTGTTAATGTCGCTCATATCCGATAATAATATAAACTGAGTCATGTTTATAAGACGCGCGTGGCGGAGCAACAAAAACAAAAGATGTCACACCTGGTTTCAATGTTTGCAGCTCCTTTTTTTCCAGCTCTTTTAGCTGCACACAGCTGTACACTTTTATCCCCTTTCTGGATAAATCGGGTGCATAAAAGGAGCAAGTCGTGAATTTTCTACAACTTTACCACAAAGAAAGGCTAATTTAGCATTTTCCTATCGCTTCATTCTCAAACAGTGTCTGCAAAAAGTTGCAAAAACAACATGCGACAAGAAAGAAAGAAAGAAAGACATAGTCAAGCATCTGTGGGGAAGTTTCCACTGATTGTAAACTAGAATTTTAGAGAAGACCTCGACTTTTTGGGAATCAAGGTAAGTTTTCAGCTGTCATCATTTATGTATAGTATGATGACATAACCCATTGTCAACATGATATTTTACCTCCTCAAAATACACCGTGTTAGCTGCTCAAGGGGAATACTGAGTTGAAATAACAAACTTTACACACATTACTGTGTCTGCCAGGAGATTCTGTGCTTTACATTATGCAAAGCTGAGGTGAAAATTGATTGAAAATTCAAAATATATCAGTGACTCAAACATCATAGACTGGATTACTGATCATGTCAAGTGCAGAAGTGTTTTTGTATGTATGTTGAAGCTGAAAAAAGTGCAAACACAAACAGGCAAGGTGCTGAAAAACTCTCTAATTGGAGTCTGTTAAAACTGGATCAGTCTCTAAAAATTAGCGAAGTTATTCCTGTCTGCAGGAAAGTGCAGCCTAGCTTGTGAGCCGGATCCCCTGTGTTTAAAAATACTGAAATATACCTTTAAGTTTGAATTTATTCTTATAGTTACGTGCTACTTTTTTGTTGCGTATTTGGCAGGATAGTGATCATTTTAGATCATCATTCCAGTTGATGCTGATCACTGTTAAAATCTTCAAAACATGACTTAAATTTTGATAATGCAACATGCAAGAGAACAAACAATAAAACCCTCGAGCTGTTGAACAAAAACTTCTAAACAAAGCCTATAATGAAAAGAAAAAAAGCTTCTGAAATGTCATGAATATCTTATCAGACTCTGTATCTGACTCTCTTCTGTGATTATTTTAACTCCTGAATCACTGTAATTATGCAAAACAGCAGGAGGAAGGTCAAAGGTCAGAGCTGCAGCTCATTGACAGTATTCTCGGCTGATCAAAGAGCTACAGCAGCTCCGCACACACTGTAAAAAAAAAAAAAAAAAAAGCCTTTTCTGAGGTGACAGAGACTGAGCTCACACTCTGCATTTTCTACAGCTCCAATTTAAATCTGTACAAAACGAATCCCAGCAGGCCAGCAGGAGAGGAATCCCGGTCAGGACGTGAGGATAAATTCATTCTCTCTCTCTCTCTCTATCTGTCTCTCAGAACAAATATCTCATCCCACGTTATCTTTTCATCTGTAGCGTTTCTGCAATGAAATTCTAACGCCAGTTCGTAAATCAAACAGTCTATTGTTTGAAAAACGAAAAAAGATGTCTCAAATATCTGTGTGCCAATAATGCGGACCAGATGAGGGGGCTGCTTTCATGTGCGGAGGGGTCTGGTGGTTCAGTACAGCCCCCTCCTCTTCCTCCTCCATCCACGAATGTTATATATGATAATTCAGACACAGAGAGAGAGAGGAAAGAAGGAGAGAAAGAAAGACAGTGATAGTGACAAGACGAGAAAAGACAACACAGCGAGGGCTCTTCGCTCCTACAAAAACCAAAACTACTGAATTATATAACCGGGGAATGACGCAACATCTGGGAGAGCAACACAGGCCTCTGACATTTCAGTGTGTGTGTGTGTGCTTTGGTCACAGAAAACAGTGCAACACCTGTCCGTATCTGCATGTTAGACCGTATCAACATGGATGTAACCATAGACTGTTTATACTGTGGACAACTTGGTTCTGCCACCCGCCAGTATACAGATTTGAAGCCAAAAAGCTCTCAGTATTTCTACGACCTTTTTTCATTTCCTCAAACCAACATTGCGCAGTAGCGTTGTCACATTCGGCGGGAGAGTCGTCAAAGTCGCTGTGATGACGCTCGGCTAAAACATCGTATCCCACACAATCCTCTTACACCCATAGGCTGTATCAAGTGTCAATCATAGAAAACATAAACCTCCTAATAACTTTTAAACATGGAGCTGTAGAGAAAAAAAAGGACTTGAACACAAAACAGTTTGACAATAACTACATGTCAACATCGCAACAAGGGGGGGAAAAATTTATATTCTGTGTAATTTATTTCTAAAGTTTGTCCACAGCTCCATAGGGATTGCTGGAGGAGGCGGGATTTATGACCTATACTGCAGCCCGTCCCCAGAGGGTGCTGTTCTCGGAGTGGCTTTACCCAGCGAGGAGGCAGACGGCGTCCATTCTACATACAGTCTATGGATGTAACCCACTGGTTTCTGAAGAAGGGTGGAGCCAAACAACGGCAGTCACTATATCAGAAATGCTGACTCTAACTTTCTTCTAAACAGGAAACAGTCGAAGAGCCTCTTTTAGAACCTTGCCACCTTGCAAGGAGGTTCAGTAAACCCACCTGTCAGTCGGATCAGCCATGACCCCTAATTGTGCCTAAACATGTCTGATCTTATATTGTACACCACTTGCAGTCACATGTCTACGATGACGTCACTCTCTAGAGTAGACCACTGTGGTATTTGTGTTGACATGAGCTGATGCATTTCAGTCAATCATTGCATTCAAGGTGTATTTAGGCTCCAACGCTGTAGTTCCAGTATATGACAAATGCTCTACCGCTAAATTAGCAGATGCTATCTCATAGCATGTTGTGTCTTTCCTGTATTTTGAGAATTAAGATTAAGTTGTAGGTATACTGTGTCTTGTTAACTCAACACAGCCCTACAACATGTAACTAGCGCACACATATGGATGTTAAACTGCAGGGAAGTCTAAAGGTTGGTGGTGCTAGCTCTGCTACTGTTAGCCACACCTAGCCAATTAGAGGTCGTGTACTCATGGATTCGCGTGTTAAACTGTGTGATAAACCATGCTCAAATTTGATTTTTCTCATATTTTGACTTTAGAATATAAATCTGGGCATAAACAAAGAGGAAATCTGCACTTTGGAACATCCCTTGCGCAGAGACCAAACATATTTATTTCTGCAGTAAAAGGGGGCATTTTTACTCGGGTTTGAGCAGAGCTGCAAGTGCTTTTGCCAAGCGAGCCGTAAGTGGACACTCGAGACGCTGTGGTTTATTGCTCCTCCAGATTGGCTTCATTTTATAACGTAATTTTATGAATATCATTTTAAGGACTTGCTACTTGATCTATCAGCATGATGTATTAGTATTTTAAGTTTTGTAGGCTTTTGTTGAGGAATAAATACAGGTGTTTTTGGGCGCTCGAGTGACTCCATCTCCATCCAGCACTGACTCTGTGTGTGTCTGTGCTGCAGATTTCAAGGCTTTCCTCTTGGCAACAGACAAAGCAGCTGTTTTTATAAGGAGCAGCATCTGGAGCTAAGTGCAAATCTTCAGAGGATTATTTCCATATTAAAGAGAGCAGAATAAAAAAAAAAGAATTTTTGTGGGGTGGCATTAAAAAAAAAACAGCAACAGGCTGAATTGTTCTGCTGCTCAGTCAGTAAACAGATGCTGCGAGGACGAACCTGTTTCTGCCAGAGTCCCTGAAGCCTTTGGCGAACGGGTTGCGGTCAATCTTTAGTCGGGTAATCTGCAGACAGAAAAGACATGACAGAGGGGACATTATTGGTGATTATTGCAGATTGAAGTGAATTTACAGCTCTAAAAGTGGAAACTGACACTCCTGTGCTGTTTCATAACAAAATACTCATGTCTTCTTTTTGTTTCTTCAACATGAGCGGCACTTAAAAGCTCTAAAAAGCTTGATTTTCCAACTGGTTTTAAAAATAAAATGTTTTAAAATTGTTTGCATTTTACTGCAAGTTTAATGAATTCGATTATGAAAGAAGTAAAAACTGAAAGGGAAAGTTTTGACAACAACAATGGATTCATTTGTTTGACTCAGCCTTTAAAAATTCTTGTAGTTCCTCTGAATTCAATTATTTTGGGTCAGAAACATGTGGTTTGAAGAGTTTTTTTTTTTTAACTTAAGTACTTTTGCAGAGAAAATGCATGCTGTGTAAAAATCTTCAAGCTGATGCAATCATCTGGAGAGATTTTTTAAATTTGCATCCATCCTGCAGAATACATGGATAAATAATCTCAGAGTTACAGCTGCACACCTGCTGGTTCTGGTAGGCGGTGACGGTGGTGAAGACGGTCTCAGGGAAGCTGAAGGTCTTGACTCCCTCGCCACTGGGCACGGGCTTGTTTGGGGACAGTTCGCTGCTGAAGTCCTTCCTGATGACGTGAACACGAGGCTGATACTTGTGCATGGAGTGGAGGATGATCTGAGAATAAAACAGCAAAGGGAGTGATTAGTAAGATTTGTGAGGATAACTTTATCCACATCAGAGGCTCGACAAAGTCAGAGGTTGCAACTGTGTGTGGGTTTTTTTATGCTTTCTGAACATCTTCGGAAAAGAAGCAAAAGGATGAGAAATATCTTGCAAAGTGGGAACATTTGCTCTGTCATCACTTTCTTTATTCCTTTTCGATGTGTTTTTATCGCAGGCGAAATCAAACACTCCCAATTTGTGCAAATCTGCTTTTACTTGTTGTAAATAGAAACAAGCAGAAAACTCATAAAAAGTGCCGATAATCATTTTTCCTGGACTGGTGAGGCACAGTGAGGATCTTTAACAACCACTGGCGGAATCCTGACTAAACGAGATCCCTTTCTTCTCTGGGATTTATCTGCGTTGTAATTATGGATGATGTTTCTTTATTGTTTCAGCGTCTCTGTTCATAATAAATTTGTATGTAGATTAAAAGTCATCCTTTTTCTTGTCAACATCATCGAGCTCACTTGATATTGAATCAGGACTGAGTGACACAAAGCGGGAGGTCACACTGCGATGGTGCTCAGTGGAGGGCCGAGGATTATTTCACAGCAGAACCGAGGCGTCAGACGGCGTCGGCCCCAGCCTCGCCTCAGGGCTTCGGTCTGCTCCTGATTAATCTGGGAGTGAAAAAAAAAAACCCTCCCAGAGCCAAACACTGAAAACTCCCTGCTTCACTCGGCTTCAGAAGAGGTCATTTCAAACCAGGGCTAGAGGGAGAACAGCTCAGAGTCTGAAACAATACATGAAACTGTGCAGACCGTGCATCCCTTCATCAGAAACCTCGTACACTTAGTATAACTGGGCTGCAGCTGCTCAAAGATACATGCTGTCATCTAAAAATCGTGTGTTTTTTTATTTACTTTATCCTTCCTCCTGTGTTAGCTTTCACTACGCACCATCCATGTTCAGGGTCGGTTTTGACCCGTGTCTTAAATCAGCTGTAAATTACACTAAAAACATTTCTCTATCATCCAATTTTGTTCTCATCTCTAGTTTACCTTGTTAGGCTTCATTGTCCATGAAAATTATTGCTTATCATAGTTTTTGTTGTGGTCCTCTGGGCCTTTCTTTGTCAGTATACCCCTCATATAGACATCTTTACTGAACTGATCTCAGATGTCTGGACATGCCTGACGTTTTTTGTGCAGGAAAAAACATGGCAAAATGAGAATTTCCTAAATCTCACGATAAGAAGAGGACCTGACTGTCAGTGTGGTGTCTGACAGTGCACTTATGATTTCAGTTTTTGCTCTAATTATTAGGTATTGATCTAACCGGGTCAATTTAATTTTTTCATTTTTATTTTGTTGATAAAGAGGTTCCTGACAAAGTCAAAAAGTCTTGATGCAAAAAAACCTAATTTAAGTGGTTCTTTTAAGCATTTAAAATCAAAAACGGGTCGGTGCAGACCCTAACACAGGAGGAGGGTTAATTCGCAGTAACTCAGCGTCTGGACTTGTAAATTGAAGAAATTAACTTGGTTGAAAAAGCATGCTTTAAAAAAACAGTGTCAGGGCTTTTTCATCAATTGAACAGCTTTACTTTAGGTTACAGTAGGTCTTTCATCACAATCCCAATTATTGTCTTTAATTTAAGAGTCAGAAATACTTCGCTTCAGTAGCAAGAGGTTCATTGACATTGGCTTGACATTGGCCCATTAGTGCTCACATGTATTGGATTGTGGGGGTCACCGTTCTCCAGCAAAGTTGTTTTGGGGTCATGAGATGAAAATCTGCTCTAAAACATTTTGCAAATGGAGTCTAAATGCAAATTGAAAAAGTTTGGAGTTGCCTAAAGTTGCCTGAAGTTTTCTCGGGTTTGCCTAAAAAAGTTGTTTTTGTTGAAGGAACAATGCTTTCTGACGGCATGTCTCGGCACAAGTTTTGGCAAAGGGATTTTTCTTAATTTTTGTTTTAAGATGTTTTTTTAAACTGTTATAACAGCGTTTTGGGCAGAAGAATCAAAGACTTAATAAAGAGCCTTTCAGAGGCTTTTTCTTCACTGTTCATTTCGCTGCTTTAAATGAGGGATAATGATGGGAGTGTCTTTTTCTAAACATTATATCTTTTCTACTGTATGAAAAACGAGTATAGATTGGTAATATAATGCAGAGTGTTTCAAAATGTGATTTATCAGCTGGATTAATCGGGAAAACTCCTAAAAAACAGTCTTTTAAATCTTTTTAAATCACTTTTTGCAACAGATGAATTTTTCCAGAGAAAAACAAAAAGTCATCTGGTCTCAGAACAGCAAACAGAAAAGTTTTTATCACACGGATACAGATTGAACTGCTGTCGTGTTTTGGTAATAATGAGTCTGTTTCTCTCACACACACACGCAGCTGTATTATGACCCAGAGGACTCGTTCTTTTCGTCCCTGGTCATCCTGATATAACGTCAAAGCGAATCACACACGGACGCACTGATCTCAGAAGAAACGACTGAGGGTGCAGCCAGAGGACATCAGCTGAGCGCTGTTCACACTCAGATATAATCAGGCTAAATAAGTCATGTTTTCATTTTCACGGTCTGTAATGACGTCCTTTTTATCCCCTTTGAAAATCATTTGGACATTCACACCCAAGAGACGCAAACACATCCTGCACATACGGAGACAGATGTTTGGTGTTTCTCTCTGAAGCCAAATTATGTCAACTTTAGTTTGAGGAACAAATTTTACACAAACAGGGAGGCCTGGACTGATTATGAAACATTTTTAAAAACCATTTTAAAGAGCTTGAAAACATACTAATAAATTCAGTAAACCACACAGACTTTAACTGCTGTAGCTTATTGAATTAGCGTTAATATTTCACCTGGGAAATTACACCTCGATGAGGACTTTCCCACTTTAATGAGCGCTGACTCAACGTAAGCAGAGAAAAAAAAAATACACACCAAATCATCAGCCTCATGTGGGAAACTTTCAGAAGCCAAAGTTGCTGCAGGACATCAAATAAAAACAGCGAATGTTTAAAGCAGAAATCTTTTTGTTCTGAACGATTTTACACAACAGCAACAGTTTCCTCCAGAGCGACGGATCATTAACAACAAAGCAACAAAAGAGAAACCAAAGCAGAAATTATTTGGCTGCTCCAGAACACTCCAGAGTTTTTATTGGGTTTTCCCAGAGACCAGAGAAGACGGAGAGGATGTGGAGGACAGGGAGGACTGACCATGTGAGCAGATCTAAGACAGACTCCGAGGCTTAATGAGTCCAAACAGGCAACCAGGTCTCCAAAAGACAATAACCTGTTTTTTTTTTCAGCGTCTTCAGCAGTGAAATAAAACACAAAACCTCTTGTTTTTCATCCACGTTTTGACAAGTTAATCTATAACCCAGACCAGTTTGTGGTTTTTGATCCAGATGGGGATGAAGCTGATCAACACAGTGTACAAATACTCCTCCATAAGAAAAGTGAGCAGAGATACAGAGTTTTTTTTACATTAAAGCTCCTGTAGGGAGTTTTTGACTGGTTATGAAACAAAAACAGAATTTGTTTTTGCTGTTTTTCATTTCCTCTGTGATTTGGCTTGTATTAATGATTTCAACACATCCTCTTTTGACTTTTTCTGGCCTTTTTTGTGACGGATCTTTGGACGTCTTGAGTCACGTATTTTGAAAAGCCTCATTGTCAACATGCCTTACTTAAATAAACTTGTCTTTCATTATTGTAAATACAATCACTGATGAATTAGTCATGAGTATTAAGTATTAGAGAAATAATTTCTGTTTCTGATTTGTTGGGGAAGTCATACAGAGAAGGCCTTAAAAGACCGCTGTGATTTTTTTATTATTTTTTTATTATTTTCATGATTTCCTTTCAAATGAATGCTGTAAACATATTAAAGCATACTTGTGCAGCTGCTTTTAAAGAGTTTTATTTTGCATGACTGCAGTCAAAAGTGTGACCAGATGTCTAATTATTAAGTTATAAACCAGATTAACTTGTTTACCACTTTATGTGCCACCTAAGATGTACTGGATATTGTTTTTTTTCCCCACAGACTGCTTCTGTAGTGCACCCTGACATCTAATAAATCATGGCATTATGGCGTCTGTTTCTAATAAAGGAGACATTTTATGACACCACATGTCAGGAGGTAAGATGTGGTGCTTCCTTCCATACAAGCTCCAAAATTAATTTCCATCAGCCTCAAAACACCCACCATGAAAACAAAACCCTCAAAGACGGAGAGGAAAGAGGAGAAAGAAAGTCCCCCCCCACTAACACCTGCATGTTATTGTATTTGACGCCTGTGTGTTGATGTAATCATCTGCAGAGCTGAGACATGACAGAGCTTTAACCTGCCGCCAGCAGCTTCACCGAGCTGGACACTGTCGTTTCTGGATCCATCTCCAAAAAACACCCTGCACCACCTGGCATCTCTGCAGTAATGGTAAACTCTGTGCACAGATCGATTTGTAACAGCTCCTCAAGGATCCTTCATCGGTTTCCCGGACCGCAGCGATCAAATCAGTCTCCTCTGAAACACTCTGACAGTCCCAACAGGAGGCACCGAGCCATCTCCCTCTGATTCAACACTCAGATTATGTGATTCGAAAAGGAAAGACGATCATCTGCTATGACTCTGCCTCAACTCAATTCATGTAAATCCTGAAAGCTCTTGGACGCTTCAAACCAAAGATTGAACAAAAGAGCTTCAATTTACGAGGGTGGTTCTCATTCTAAAGTTGTTGTTTGCTAGTTTTTTATGGGCTTTAAATGTTGATTTCTTTTGAACGGACGATTTGAGATGAAGTACTTAGTGGCACTTTGGTAGAGCACATTTTGTTTTCATTATCCTCTCATCATTACCACATATTTTAAACCCAGCAGAGCTGCAGCGATTTGTTAGAATAACTAGATTTAAGCTAACATGGGTTTTGCAATGATCGTTAAAGCTTTATTAATAATTTTCTGACCACATAGGGGCAGAAACAATGAAACAACCTTTAGAGACAAAACTCCAAATATGTAAGATTTTAAACAGCTGCATTGAATTGGTGCCGTTTTTTTCCATCTACTGATTTAGATCTGAAATGTTTTTGCTCAGATTTGGTCTCCACCAGCCTTTAAAAATAAAGAGCAACCCCAACTCCCAAATAGTTGGAAAATGTTGATTTAATAAAACAGATTCTGATGGTTTGCAAATCACTGAACCTCAATAGTGCTTCAAAAATACTGCAAAAGCAACCCAGCAATTATTGGAAGTAAAATATACTATTGGTGTACAGAAATGTAGGATGTTTTATGCTCACAGTTTCAACATCTACAGTAAAGATTCAAATAATCTGGAGAAATCTTTGCATAAAAGTGACAAAGCTGAAACCAAATACTAAATGGTTGCTATCTTCAGGCCCTCAGGTGAGGGGCTCTGTAGTGGAAATTACCACATGGTCTCAAATCACTTGTTTATTGGTCACTGTTACCACAAATGCAGGTTAAAACTGCACCACACAAAGAGGAAACCATATATAGAAGGAAATAGTAAAACATGAAACAGCAAAAGTGGCCATTTCTGTACAGAACTGCATAAAAATCCGAGACCACTTCAGATGATTATTCACTTAAAATTCATTGCAGGTTTATAATTAAGGGTCAAACAAAGTCTACAACAAAAAGCTAGCGCTATGTTTCTTCCACCTGAAAATGTCCCTCTCCCATGAAAGCCATTAAAAGTCCAAATAAGGGACTCACTTCAGCGGGCTGCCCACTCGCTGATTAAACATAAGGGAAGGCTGTAAATCAGACCAATTGTGGTCTCACTTGTAGCATTACAGTTAAATATTTCACCTATGAAACCCACATTAGACATAAGGGGAAGCCAAGAACCAATAAGAGACTCACTTTAGCTCACCACCTCTGTTACCGACTGGCTACGAGCGAGGCTGTAAATCAGACGGATTGTGGTCAGAGTTAAGATTTAGCCCTGTGGTGTGGCTGCTGGAGCGCACTACAAATCAAATCCAATCATTAAGTGCCTTTAACGAAACCGTTTCATTATAAATGTTTCACAGAGCCATGAAGGAAATGAATAAAATACATTAAAATAGGGGCGCAGGTTCAAATCCCAGGCCTCTAATATTTCTCCACAGTAATCCTCAAACCTAATAATACTCAGGCAGGATGGACCATCTTCAAAATGAAACGCCCAGAGTGTGGGAGGGCAGCGCTTGGCACAGCGGACCGTCAGGTTTTGCAGAAAATCAATTCAGAACAAGTCTCACGGCTCCATGAGAGCATCAAGTCCGTGAAGAACTGTGTCAAATTTCCTCTCCAGGAAACGCATCAGAAACATTTCAATCCAAAAACTTCCCCACAGTGGACCAAAGAGAGGACGCACAGCACAAAGGAGAACTAATGAATCACAGCTTGAACATTCAAACCAAACTATTTAGCTGGATAGTCTCTGCTGAAGTCTCATTTGTCTTCTGAATTTAGCACATAAACCCCTCAAACACCAAAACAAAGACATCATACTGACTTTACTGTTCGTAAGGGACGGGAGCGTCAGTCTCCGGAGGAAAAGTTTGGGGTTTGTTATGAATTTCTTCTTTCATGCCCTTTAATTGCCATCCTAACTTCATCAATCACAATTTCTACACTGAACAACACATGCTGAATTCTCTCATAACAAACTGTGTGCACAAAATATCTACTGTATGTGCGAAATCAATGTTTCATGAGTCAAAATGTGTCTGTACCAACATTCAGCAGCGTGAAGGATAAAGAGTAAAGGTGTCTTACGTGTCCCTGATCATCCAGCTCGTTGTTGGTGAGTTTGAGCTTGTCGAAACTGACCACCTGTCTCATCCAGGTGTCTCCTGAGGCCAGAGAGTCCGGATGGATGTACGCCCGGGGAGGGACGGGGGAATCGGCGTTTCCTGCCACCATCCACTTGGAGCTGTGATACACGTACCTGGAAGACGAGACAGGGAAACTGTTAGAGCAGAAGAAAAACTAAAGAGAGGGACTTTAACATTTTCTGGTTATGATGTTTAACGATAACATGGATTAAGAGTCAAAGGTCAAGCCTCACTTAAGTTTAAAAAACCCGTCACATTGGACCTTTTCTGCATATTTTCTTCATGGTGGAAATATGCATCATAGATTCACAGAGAAGACGGATGAGACTTTTTTATATATATGCTTTAAAGGAATTTGGCAGATTGAAAACTTTTTTTTTTAAGTGTTGACAAGTTTAATTTGGTTTTGCAAACTTGGCCTCAACATGCTTTTTTTTTTTAAATCAGTATTCAACGATTGTTCGAGGATTTGACAAGAAGAAAAAGGTTCAAACCTGCCCATCTTTCACCCAACAGCTTTCATCTGACACCAGTTTTGCCTCTGGTGCTGTAATAAGATATTTTTCTGAGCTGTCAGCAAAGTTATAAGATATTTTAATGACTGATAAGTGAAATCTGTGTTCTGGTCGCTTTTTTAACAGCGAAGTAGCAACTGGAGAGACGTGAGAAAAGCGTTGGTGTTGACAGAACAACAATGACCAGACTGTAATCTGCATAAACTTGCAAATATCTGTCCACAGAGATTAACTATAAACTGGATTAACATCAAATGAAAGTAGTCAGTGGGTTCCAAGATTATTTTTGAAGCCAGTGTGCTCTGCTGCTTTTTGTACAACATACAGGAAGTTGTCGGTGAGGCAGCAAAAGTCAAAACCAAAATACACTTCAATATCACAATGTAGTGCCTCTCCGGATTTAAAGAGATTAGAAATGTCCTTCATTCAGTGTTACAGGATTCATTTAGACTGACTTTTTATTTGAGATTAAAGTTGTTGTATTTTAAGGTTAAAGTCATCATGTTGCAAGATTATAATCCGTATGTTAAAAGAATAAAACTGCTATGTTACAAGATTAGAGTCGTCATGTTGTGAGAATAAAGTTATGTTGTGGTATTAAACTCACTTTATTAGGAGGATGCAACATTATTTTCTGAGATAAAGTGATTTTGTTTTGAGAAAAAGTTATATTTTAGAATTATAACTATTATGTTATGAGTAAAAAGACACTATGATACGAGGACAAAGTCAACAGTTCGTCATATAATGTTGTTTTGAAGGGGAAAACCTCATCTCAGCTTTTTGCCAAGTCTGAAGTCCTGATACTTATAACAATGTGGTGCTGAGGTGCCAAAACATTAGGGACAACTTGACAGGAAGCTTTCTTCAATTTCTTCATTTTGGTACAGACAGATGGCTGCTCAGCCAAAACCAAAACTACAAATTTATCACCACTTTATTGTCAGACCATGATGATTTTATTCTCCTAATATTATGACTTTACAACAACTTTATTTGAATTAGATTGTGACTGAACCTCATGACACAAACTTTTTGCTTAAAATCTTCAAAAGACGAATAAATCATGAATGAAGTCCTAATACTTTGGCGTATTCATTTAAGTCAAAGGGACGAGGAGTTCCTCTTCACGTTGATCAGGTTAATCTCACTCCTGCATTCTCAATCAGTCCAAATAGAAATGTGAACACAATCAGCCCAGGTTCGAGCTTACCCAGGGTCCTTTGCCACATGTCTATCCACCATACTATATTTATGAAATTTAAAAACCTGCAACAATTTTTTTTTTTTTTTGCATTTTGCACACACGACACCTCTCCTGCTCTTCACGTTTTTACTCCACAGCGGTTCAAATCAAACTCTGGGACAAATGTTCCCTCGTCGCTTCTCTGTTTTGTAAACTCATTGAGTCTCTGAGGTTACTTCAGGGTTGAATGGGTCATTATAAAAGCTGTTTGGATTCGAGAAAAGCCGAGCGCCTCTGCTGTCCTTCACTCCGCAGGAAAACAAACTCCAAACACTCGGCCACGTTGCCACAACACGGCCTTTTTCAACTCATCTGTTGTTTCTTCATTGCGCCTGAAATTTCGAACAAGAGCAGCATAAAATATTCCATATGCAGTCACACACACACACACACACTCAGCTGCATAGTTTCAATTAAGGGCAGCCATAATATTTGATGATGCTGTGTGTGAGTTTGGGTACGCTGGGGCGTCCCACCCATTAAACAGCAGGGAGAGAGAAGAAAGAGAGAGAGAGAGACTGACTTTTACCCTCCTTTTAAAAAACAAGTCCTCAAAGCACCAGCCAAAAATGTATGCAGTGTAGTAAAAATAGAGGAACTAAAAATACAGGGAGGAGAGAGGGAGTAAAACTCAAGAAAAGAGAGAACAAAGAGGAGAAGGAAGAGAGGCGAGAACAGAGAAAGAGAGGAGAGGAGGAAAAAAAGGGTTAATTGGTGATATTAAGCCAACAGACGGTGAGATTAAATGAAGATCCATACAGAGGGGAAGAAGAGTTAGAGATAGGCTGAGCGAGGTTGAGAGTGAGTGGAGGAGAGCGAGAGTGAGGCACAGCTGTTTGCCTTTAGTTCAGGCCCTTTCGCTCACTTGAAAGTGTTTTATCTGCTGCGTCCCTGCCAAAGTCATCACTCACTCCTGAAACATGGACACAACTCTCATTTGGTCCTTTTGTTATTGCCTCTGAGGGCTGCACCACCCTATTACACACACACACACATATATATATGTTTATAGTCACATTCAAGCAAAGGCAAAAAAATGCATTTATTATCTGCGTTTCTTTGCCACAGTTTGAAGAATATCATAAGAAGGTCCAAAGACTTTTTTAAGGGATGTGGACAAAAACAAATCCAGCAGCCATATTGAAGGTAAAGACAGGACTTTAGGACTCTGAACAGTTAGCTGTATTTGTAAGATACAAATGAAAGTGTTATTTGTGTATTGTATCTGGAATTAAGTGAGGAAACTCAGAGTAAGAAAGAACGAATTCAGGGATTAGCAACAGGTGAGTAACAAGAGTATCTCTGATACTGGAATGAGGATTGAAAACATAAACTTCAGGTTTCGTTAGAGGCTGTTCAAAAGTAGGTCTCGGGTGATAAGTAGCAAGAGGTAGAGAAAGATAGATGCTTAGACTGATCAAGACTGGCAAAGAAAACTTGAAGATTTGGAAAGGGCGAGTCAAGAATCAGACTGACAAGATGAAGTTTAGGGACAGTAAGGAGTCGTAAAAGACCTGCTTGTGTATTAGCAAAGGGATGGATAAGAGTAACCTGCGTAGAGATAGGTAGGTAAAACTTTAGGACTTGTAAGAGACCAGAAACAAGTCTGAGAGTAGACAGGATATAAACTCAAGGACTAGAAAAGATGAACCTCAGAGAAACTCAAGGATTTGCAATAAGCTGTAAGAAGAAATTCACCAACTGGTAGGAAGCATAACTCTCCAACTAACAACTATCTTGATACTCTAGTCATCCATGGCTCATGAAAACCTGGTGAACTTGTTAAAAACAAGTTGAGGAAAAGGGTGTTCATTTTATTCTGGCTTCTTTTTTGTCCAACAGACTACAAACACAAAGTTTTACTACCTGTTATTTCTTTTACTCTTGCTAATGCCAAGCGAACACCTCCACACCGCTCTTTTGACCTTAACACATCCACCCACTAAGGGGTGCCAGGCCTTTCTGTAATTTCCTGTTTGGAGTGCTGTTTAGGGTTACGCTCTGTGTAGCGGGAAAAGTGTGAAGGAACGAGGAAACTTTAGCCCCAAACACGACTGGAAATCTGATTAGTCCCCCTCACTTTCATCTCCTATAAATCTGCCATCTGGCTCCAGAGCGATCAATAAAGACTGGACTTTATGTGACTCTTACTGGATGGACTGGAGGAGGGGGAGGGGAGGAGCGCTTTTTCTCTTCTCCTGCCAAAGACAAACACACAACTAACAAATCTGCAACATGCACTCTTTAATTCTTTGCATTGCAATTTAAAACTCCCTCATATCTTCATGTTTTGAAGAACTTTACTGAAAGTGTCCGCACCAAAATAAACTCTACAACCTTTTGTATCCATTCTGGGTTTGTTATTATCTAGACAGAATTTGGTGTAAGGGTTAGAGAAACTTGAGTGAGGGTTTAAAAACTGCATTTATAATCAGATTAGGGCTGAAAAATGCTTTACAGTGTCATGTTTAGACATAAAGGTTTCAGGAATGACTACTGCATCCAGAAGTTGCCCTCACATGCAGGGGTGTGTCCACTTTTTGTCTGGGGTGGCCAAACTGCACCAATGACAGATTCAGGAGGGGGCTTTTTTAATGCATGTTTACACAGATGCAGCTTTTCTCTCTCTTTCTTCAGTAAAGTTTTGACATACAGAAAGACACACTGTTCTTGCTTATATGTACTTTAGATACCCTCCATCCCAGCAACCCTGAGAATGTAGAGGTGAAAAAGTATCTGCCTTGTTTGTGTAGCCTAGTTTCTTATAGATGTTTTAACCTGCTGTGCCCCTTTTAAAATAGAAAAGCCATATGATATGATGCGGGAGTGTCCCGAGGTGACAAACTTCTGGTCTTTGGTTGCGAAAAAACTCTAAGCTCTTTTGGAGTCTGTCATCCCCCTTTTCCCACCAGTGTTACTGTTGGACAATGTATCTGAACTTCACTTGAAGACAGCGCAGAAACGTGTTCTTTTCTCTGGGCTAACAGAAGCTAAGAAGATGCTGGAAACCTCCTCATACGTTATCATTGCGCCAATGGGCTCTTACATTTTTAGACATTGTGTATCTTGAATTATCTACAGCTCGGGCAGAATCACTATTTTTTTGGATCATACTGCACTATATAGTGGGGTTAGGGTGTGTGGGTATTTCTTTCCTTAATTTTTCCTTTTTTATTTTGTAAAAAAAAAAAAAAAAATCATCAAAACAGATTTTATTCTGACCCAAATTTGCAATAAAAAGAAAATATTAGATTACAAAAAATAATAAATATAAATAAAAAATAATAATAAATAAATGAAAAATTAAATAAAATATATAGAAAAGTCAGAATTTAAAAATTGTACAACTAAATGTCCAATATGAAAGTGTAAAAAAAAAAAAAAAAAAAGCCCTGGGCAACAACATGGCCCAAAATAGTTGATTTTAATTTGAGTGCCAGACAAGGTAAAATCTGATGGGATTTGGGGGCCAATCACATATCAAAGGAGGGTCCATGCCACCTCTGACCAGCTTTCTGGACACACCCCTGCTCACATGGATAGTATTAATGCTATTTAATGAATATATGTGGGTTTTCTTTTTTACTTTTAAATGTGCTTTCATGTCCTGTCATCCATACAAGTTACATAATTTGCGTGATGCCAGCAGACAAGCTTATAAAAATGGGTGTTTACTGACTGTGTGTGGTGACCTGAAAGTATGTGTAACTGAAGACGTGCGACTTGCTCTGACACACACACATGAAGACGGGTTCATAAGGCAGAGTCGCTTCATGTCGCAGAGCAAACCGAGCGACTGTCCACATAAAAGAAGTGAAATATGGAGGTTTAATGAGCGTGGTACCAAAAGACGTTCCCAAACAGGGGCAGGGAGCCCAAGTAAAGCAAGTCAACTTCAATAAAGACCGTGTTTCCAGACCCCAAAGTCTTCAGGACTGGGACACACACCAGTGACAGATCCCAGATCAGTCTGTAAAGCTCTGTGGTAAACTCCCCAGCCAGGATGAAAATCCCATTTAATTTTACAAGATCTTCTGGTCTCTGAAAAGCTTCTATGATGGGCTGGTTCACTTGTGGGAGGGCAGTAAGAGGCGGTAACACACAACATCTTCCTCGCTCTGGTGGAAAATTCTGTATTCATTAAATGTGACATGATATTAAAGATAGAGGGTACTCGAGTCAAATAACAGAAGTTGTGGTCTTTTATTGTTTGTCTTCATTCCTTTCTTGTTTTTTGTCTTAATTAAATCTGCGCTGACATGAGGGGGAGGAGTTTCTCCCTGTTTTCCTCTGAGATGACAGGTTTTCTTTTACAGAAGGAGGTGGAGGGAGTCTGTGATTTGCTCAAATATTAACTCTCTAAAAGAAATGCATTTAAGGCTTTAATGAGTTTGAAAATGATTTCGACTTTTTTTAGACACTTGTTTGCATTTTTATTAGTAAGTTTGAACTCAGTATATAATCTTACTAAGGCTTTAAATCAGTGATATGCATAAATGAATAAAGTGGCATGTCTCTTCATTATGATCAATACAGGTAATCTAGTTAAGTCTGAGTAAAACCAAAACACAAATGTAAGTTTCTAAAACAACTGAACGTGTATTTTCTGCACCAGTTAATCCTGTGCAATCAACTTTTTTTATCCCAGCCATTCATGATGTTACTGAGCTTTTTAAAAGTGAAAAATGCAGATTTTTCTACTGTTTCTAAAAGCTTCACCACACAGGCAGCTGAACAATATGCAAACAGGTGTCTAAAAAGCTTCTATGTGATAAGCTACCTGATATTTCAGACCGGAGTATCTCTGTCTGTCAAGCTGTCCTTCTGTCTGCAGAGCTCCTTGGCTTCGTTAGTTTGGCTGAACAATAAGAGTCAAAAAGGAGGAAACATTTTTTCACTTTCTACAGAAAGTAGAAAGTGAAAACTATCTGCGGGGCACACGCTAAGAGATAATGATCGGAAAGCAACCTGACTGGAAGAGGAAGCACAACGAACCATAGCAAAGTGAACATGAGGTTTAAACTGAAATGGGCGTCAGAAATACTGGTACCCACTTTTTGATACATGGTGACAACACATGTAGGTAGAACTGATATGAAAATGTGGTCGCAATGTAAGTAGGCAGTTAGGATCAGTTAGCTCCTGTGTTGTCAAGTCACGTTTGACTGTGAGACTTTCTCAGTTTTGACAGTCTGGACTCTGGTCTGGACAACAGCAACAAAACTGTCAAATCTGTCATCATGTGTTGGGTCTCAGACATTACAAGATCAGTCTGAAATTTTTTAATCTTTTGGTGTTTGTCCACTTTAAATTTTCCATATTGTCTTATCCTTCAATTCTCCATCCTCCTCCATCATATCTTACCTCCCCGAGTATCACCAAATGTAAAACAACAAATTCTTTCAAAATAAAAGCATTTAAATAACAATATTAATGGTGCTATTTTCCTTTCTTGAACTTTTCTAAATCAAATTTGAGATTTGTTTTACTAACTCTGAATGTAAGACCAGAAACTCTCAGCAGGCTAAAGCTTCGACTCACAAACAGCAGCATCAGTGTTTAGAGACTTTCATTGATCAGACCTCACAGTAAAAGCTCTGATGCTGGCTCTGGGTTATTTTCCACATCATCACTTCATCACAATCATAACAGCCTGTTTTTATATCAGCATTAGTAAGACACGACACAGTCACTGAAGAGAGAAGGTAAACTTCGCACATGTCTCTCATCATCTTCCTCATTTTTGTCATAACACCTGAAAAGTTTCTGCTGGACCATAAAGTAACTCTATAAAACTTCTCTCGCTGCAGCATCTCAAATTTTCTTTCCATCTCCACATCATTTTTTTTTTATCTTTCCGTCATCAGACGTGGATGTTGAGAGTTATCCTATTTGCAGGCAGCCTCTGCGGGATGATGAATACATTTCAATCTCCTCTCTGGCTCTGACTTCAGGGACTCGTTCTGCAGCCAGGATGTCGGTCTTATTGCATATCCAGAGAGATCCATCACGTACAGACCTGCTTCCAGCCCATGCACGCTTTAATCACTTTCACTTCCCTTCATTCATGCAAATGATGGGAGGAACAACCTTTTTTAAAGCCAAGAAGAAGACAGGAACATGTCTCGGAGCAGTTATGAGGAAAATGACAAAAGGCTGGAATATCTTTGTTCAGTCCAAATCCTGTTATGCGGACTCAAAGATGAGAAATGGTTCTGAGATAACATCAACCCAACTAGGTCAATGTGTTTGTACTCAGCTCGATTTTTGAGATTCATCCAGGAAAATAAAGTTCTGCATCCAGCTGTGGAGGGATACGACTGTGCCTGTGCATATTATGTTCAGCTGTGCTCTTATTCAAATGATTTTCTGAGAGAGCTGAAAAGCTGCTCTTCTGTGCTGCATATGTGTGTTTGACTTTCTTCGTTCCCTCTTTTTAAAAAAAAACGCACAATTACTCAGCGATTTCTCCGCAATTTCATTCCTGTCATGTCTGAAAAGCATCTGTAACAGCGCTGAGACCATCAGGGGACATTTATCTCCCCGTTCAAAACCAGAGGAATGAAATCATTTTGGTTTTGGAGCAGATTGAGGGGAAATTCTGGGATGAAGGTCTGTATTTGGAAAAGCAGGAAAATGCGGATAAATGGTGCAAAAACAGAAGATCAAATGCAAAGTTTGACTTCGTTTTGCAAACATGTTGAACTCAGGCTTTTCCTGCAGTATATACACAAGTAACGTACCTGTATCTCTTATTGTCCACAGGCACGATGTCCATGGCGATGTAGTACTGCTGATGAGGGTCCAGACCTGCGATCTTCACCCGCATGGCAGGAAACATCCTCCTGAAAGAGAGGGATACATATTGATGAGTCAAATGGGAATCAAATTATTTCCATCTTTTCCCTTTTGTCCTTTTGTTTCATTTATTGAAATCAGATCTCTAAAATAGAACTGGCAGAGACTAGCAGCAAAAACACGATCGGGCTCCTAAAAACAAGAGAGATTATCAGGAATATAAAAAATCATTCAGACGCTGACAGGTTAGACTCGAGAGATTTCACAGAGGATTTAAAACACGCAGGATTGTTACGCTTTGCAATTTAAATTCTGTCCCCAGATTATCCCAAGCAGCGCAAACTAGAGACTCAAAGCTTTCCTTCACAGCTCAGACTTTGAGAGTGACAAATTACACGGCGTACAAACAGAGGTTGTGTTTTTTTCCATCCTTGAGACTTATAAGAGAAGAAAGGTCATCTGTAATTTTGACCAGAATAGCTCTATGAAGATGCCGTGTCCTAAAAGCAGTCCTGCTGACAATAAAATATAAAACACTGAGTCTGAAAACAACAGTGTTTTCTTCAGTGAAGTCGTTTCTTAAAAGAGATGAAGGTTATTTTAAGGTAACTAGACGGCTGAAAGAAACTAAAGAGGGTGAAAGAGTGGAGGCAAACCTTCCTGAGTGGATCATTTGGACACCCTGAGGCCTGTGAGAGAAAGTACTGCTTTAAACGTTACATGACAGATCGACCCCAACACAGAATTAGAGGAAAGAAGACTCTTATAAATAAATGCATCATGATTAAAACAAACTCAGAGCAATCTGAGGATTCAATCATTCTGATTTCATGTTATTATCCAGCAGCTGAGGTCACGGAGGAGCCTGCAGTATTCTTCTACTGAGACTTAGTCATTTAAAGATCATCCCACAAACTCATGACACATAGTTAGTGATTGGTGATCTGCAAATAATGTTCGACAAAACTGAGTAAAACATGTTTACAGCTGTGTCAGTGTAATGGATCAGGTTTCCAATCTTACATATTGTGTGTGATACAGTAAAATTTCCATCATTGAAATAGTTTCACATCAGAAATGTTCTTTTATTTTAGCTGCTTAAAGCGACATGGGATGGATTCCTGGATCAATAAGGAGGAAGTGTGAAATAATCAGACTGGGGAATCAGTTTAGTAATATGTAAGTAATGTCTAAAGGTGACCAAAATAACGGATTAGGTCTCTATTACAGTGAAGAGGTGCAGTCTGAAAATAAACCAGCCGTCAGAGCACAGAGAGAGCGGATCAAACAAATCATCACTCCAATCAGGGCAAAAAATTGAGGTTTTTGGAGGTTTTTGAGTCATAATCAGGGATTAGTGTTCTTATATTTTCTCCTATCTTTCCCTCTGAACCCTCATGAATAAAAGAAAAACCAACTTTCCTCCTGCACGTCCTTTCCCATCTTATCTTACCTATGTCAGCATCACTTACAGCATCATAATTAATTCTATCAAAATGAAAGTATTCATAAAAACTCAGATTTTCCAAATAATGACTCTAATTGTGTTATTCTTCCAATAAACAAACAACTAAATACAAATGATCAACTTAAAATAATCCAACAATTTTCAGTATAGTCAGCAGGGTTACATCTAAGTGAAATAAAGGGACCACTTGGTGTGCAGTTCTGGTGCAAAGAGAAGAAAAAAACAGACCCTCACCTTCCACATTTCCAATAAACATATATGTTTAAAAAAAAGATTAATTCACTAAAAGATTTTTACAAATTAAATAATGTATTTTAATATAGCTCCTTTATATCAGGTCACTTTATTGTAGCGTATAAGACCTGCTGCTCAGCCTGTTGATCTATTTCTCTGAGCAGTCCAGAGTGTAATGATGCAAACAGGTTTGAAAATGAGTTTAATTTCTTATAAAGCTGTGTGTGTTTTTCTACTTGAGCAAACTCTCTCTGCTTGTTCAGAGTTTGTTGAAATGAGGAGTCCTCGTCTTTCATTCAAACGGCCCCCCGAGGATGTAAACGATGTTTGTGCAGCGCTGGGCAAAGCAAACAGCAGACACACACACATTTTCAGACACGCTCATTTAAAAAAAACAAGTCCTCCTGTTAAAATTAATAAACAAAATGCAGAGGTATTCAACGAAAAAACAGAGTTACTCTGATTCTGCATCAAATCAGTGGTTATTTTTTGGTGAAACTGTTCCTGTGTTTGTTTTGTTTTTAGTTTCACACTCGCTGTTGACTTCTTTAACTCATACAAAAATAAAAGCTCCATCTCTCAGCTGTAAAAAGTTCTTCTTGGTTTGTTCATCATGTCTGAATGAGAAGAGATTCAGCTTTTAATGCAACAGAAATAAACTCTAGGAGCAACACTTATATGAAGATAATGTTAAATCATTATTTACATCTTTATCCTGATTGTTTGGACATGGTTATACCACTAAAAATGTACTAATTTCACTTTTATCGCTTCAATATTTCTGTAGTCTTTATTTTTGTTCCTGCGGGCCATAATATTTTAACCTCTGACCTTTACATTCTATACATTTGTGTGTTTTTTTGGTCTTTTTGTCATAAAACTTAACAAACCAATAATCAAACTCTGAAATCTTTCATGTAGGTCTAATTAAACTTTACTTTTTCTCCTCAGACATGTTTCTGTCCACCAGCTCCACCCGCTCTGAGGCAGATTTGACCATGAAAATTACAGTCAGAGAAAGACAAAGAGGAGGGGTCTTGTATTAAATGAAGAGGGAGAAGTTGTGACTTAATTCCTCTTTTTGCACTTCAAACGCAGCATTTTTGAGCTTTTCATTTAAAAGTCGTAAATCTGAAGCTCTCTAATGAGAGCAGAGGGCTGCTCCGCTCCCCCCTCTCCTCTGGATTTATGGTTTTATTATAAACAGGCCATGAAGAGAGCACACACACACACACACACACACACACACACACACACACACACACATAGAGTTATAGTCACTCTGCTTCAGCGCAAAAATGATGGTTGTGCCCTTTATGAGCTGATTACCAATTTAAAGCCAATTCATAAAAAGCAGCAGAGTGAGTCTAATATGAGAAAATGAGAGAGAGAGAGAGAGAGAGAGAGAAGAGAGAGAGGGGGGTGTTACTGAGGGCAGCACTGATTAAGAGCAGAAAAAGTCAAATAAAGGCCTTGACCAAAAGTTCAGAGGTGAAACACAAAAACGTCTATTAAATATAATATATGAACTTTTTATTCAGCTACTTCAAACTCAAATCCATCTGTCCTGATAAACAGAAGATAATCTGACTGAATTATTCAGATTAGAGATAAACTGATCACTCAGTCAGTGGTTAATCGGGCAGATTTAAAGTGATCAGTAACACATCGCCATCACTGCTAGAAAAGTCAATTACACCCTCATCTTTTTTTGAACGATTACACATTTTTCACAATCTTTAAATTTAGAACAATTACCAGTTAACCTTTAAGCTCTGTTGTGAAGTGAAGAAAAACACAGTTTAAAGTTGCTCCTGACATTAAAACATGTAAGGGAAAATAACCATTAGTTTATCACATGCTTAGAATAATAAAATAATAATGTATTTCTTTTGTGTATTTTTTAGGCCTGATATTTTTTTATTTCAATAATTACCAACAACTGGACAAATATTTTAATTCCTTGCAGCAATATTTTACAGACAAATATTTTTTTTGTCTCTATTTATTTGAGAAAATGTTCATTTACATTCAGTTGTTCTGTTTTTTTTTTTTTTTTTTTTTGTATTTGTGAGTATTATTTAACTCTTATATTTGATCCAATAAACAATAATATGATATCAGTATTAAACATCAACACTGGCTGATCTGCTCCCTATAAATATGATATTGTTTAATTTAAAAATGATATCAACTCACACAACACGCACACACATAGGTGCAGACATTAGGTCCCTGGCCTATTAACTGTTTTTTTTTTTTTTTTGGTGCTTACTCATCATTTTCCTGCAGTTTTTAAGCACTAACTATTCTACCAACAAACTTTAAGAGAAGGGTTCTGGTAACGGAGATGCGCTTTCTGGACCCAAATAAGTGCAAGTTTGAGGCGCTGTCCGGATAGAGATCCATGTCGTCATAGAAACGTGTGTATTGGGGACTTTTTTTTTTGCCGTCGAGCAGCAAAAGCTCAAAATCTCTCAAGTCGATTGATGTGAGCAGAGGGGGAAATGTTAGTCGCAGGGCGCGCAGCAGAGCGCGAGGAAAGGTCTTTCCTGCAGGGCCCGCAGGTCAACTCCTGCTCTCAGTCTGAGTTTGGACTGCAGGCACGAGAGACCGAAAGACAAAAAAATGAAAATGTTTCCGAGAGAGAGAGAGAGAGAGAGAAAGAGAAAGAGAGAGAGAGAGATTAATTAAATCCAGCTCTCCGTTTTCTCAGGCATCGAGAAAAACCTGCCGCGTCATGAGGCCTGAACACGACACAGCGGCCTGCATGTGCAACACATTAACACCCTCCAAACACAGAGGTGTGTGTGTGTGTGTGTGTGTGTGTGCCTGAGCTTTTGAAATGACGCGTCTGTGAGTCAACGCGTACGCCTTTGCGCCTGCGCAGTCGAATAACTTAAATTAGCTAATCGCTTAACTCGGCCCTAAATTGTTTTTATGGTTTTAGTATTACGGGAAATGTTTTAAAATAATGAGATATCGGAAGAGTCAACTTGTGGGGCCAGTTTGAAACGAGTTTCATTTGCGTAAAAGTTAATGACTGAGTTTTTACGCAGTCTGATTGCGCCACGAACCCGCTATAGAACTGCATGTAGGTTTGTGTGCGTGTGTGTCCGGCCTACCTGCCCGCCTTAGTGATGATCATCTCCGTCCCGATGTCATGGAAACGCTTCCACAGGTCTGCGCACTGCAGCTCCACCTGGATCTCCTCCATGGAGGCTGGGGGCGACGGCTCGCAGGGGCCCGGGGCCAGGTCGTCGGGTGAGCCGAAGGAGCACGACGTCCTCTCAGCCAGACCCTCTCCGTCCGAGCCGGGACTCGCCTCTGAGTCTGAGGGGGAAATGAGGACTTTGATGAGAGGGCAGCTCTCAAACAGTGGAACTAATCCGCTTTTGGCTTTTTACGCAGGAAACTTGGCGCAGTGAGGAGGGCAGCGGTTCTCTCCACTGACTCCAAATCACCTGCCGTCTCCAGCCCGGAGCGGCGCGGCTAAGTTTGTCTCTCTGGCTCGTGCTAAAGTCCTGGGCTGATGTCAAACGCAGAATAAATGCTGCGTAACGCCTTTGAACTGAGATGTAGAAAATATTACATATTAAATTGGGCCACACAAATGAAGAGGTCCACGGGGAAACGTACAGAAAATGGAGTTTTTCCTTCAAGCTCTCTCTCTGGAGGGAGAGTTTAACTGACTGACCATCAACACAGTCACGATGTCAGAGCAGATAAAACCGTTTCCTCCATCCTGAATCTGATCCAGACCTACAGAGAAGCTTTCCATCAGCGTGAGGCTCAAACTCACAGACACCAGCAGGGTGACCTCAGACAACTTCACATTTGCTCTGTGCACAACAAAATCCAAACTCTTCTGCTTTTAAGGAACAAGGAGACAGAAACGAAGGAGAGTCTGCAGCTAAATCACCCAGCATGACCTTTGTTTGGAGGTCACTTTGCAAGTTCTTCCTTTATTTACTCAAACAAAACTCAGAAACCCCTTATTGACTGCAAAATTAACCAGATCCTAAATCAAAACTCCTTTTCTTTTTAACTCCAAATTCACCGAATAAAGAAGCAAACCCTCTCAGCAAATCATCATCCTACTTTTTAACCTTGTTGGGTTAAATGGCGATACATCTTATTTTTTTTCTAGCTAGGATGTCATTTCTCGAAAGCTCCAAACTTCAAAACTCCGCTTTCACCAGATTAAACTCTCACACGCTTACTTTTGTTTCACTTTTCTCAGAAATAGTTCACTGCTAACTATCCATCATCCCCTCCAACACCACCACCACCACCACCACCCAGAGAAGAATCTAATAATGTATTATTTATTGAGCGCCCTGACACCAGGAGGTGGACTTGGCAGAGCGACGGGCACACAAATATGGTTATGCAAATGCAGAGCTGCTGCGAGACTGGACCCAGTCCCCCGGCCAAACCGCCGTGCCGAGCTGAGCCAAGTCTGCTGGAAACACAAGCCCAGAGAGGAGAAGTGAGGAGAGGAGAGGAGGGATGGAGATAGGAAGAGTAGAAAGAGGAGGGAGGGGAGGGATGAAGGAGGAGAGAGGGAGGTGGAGTGGAGGGGTTGAGGGGCTGTAATGAGCACAGAGAGACACAGACAGACTCTCCATCATCTTCTTGGGAGATCCTGTGAGTGTCACTGCAGCCGGTGAGACTGTCACACATGATTCCTCTCCTGTTATTCTACTTTTACTGTTCACACACACTCACAGAGTCACTGAGAACAGCCCCCTTACTTCATATTAAAACACTGCATTTACTGCTGGTGTTCAAGAAGCGGGCAGACGAATGAATAACCATAAGTTTTATCTGCTGTGAGTTCATCTACAGATGAGGACAGCACACTTACATCAAGCAGCATTAAACTTGAGTATCTGGTGCAGGAAGATCACACAGATGATGGTTTTAAATAATATAATAATATATAATCATCCATATAAAGTGTGCAGACAGTAATCTATCACAACCAACGAAAGCAATCTCTTCAAATCTGGAGGCTGTTGTAACACCCTGTCCCTCGATACACGGAGAAGCATTCAGCCTCTGAGTTATTTCATAATACGTTAGCAGTGAAGTGTTAAAATGAAGACTCTCTAGATCTTTGTGTTGCGCTGATTCACATTACATTTTGTCTTTTTGCATTTTTATTTCACCTTTTAAGCTTTTTCACACTGCTTTGGCGTGCAATTTCTAACACACAACATAATAATGTTGCTCATTCCAGCACAAACTCCACCGCTCTTTAACTCCACTTAAGCAATTGCACTCAGTTATTTAACATTATTTTCAATTGCATTAGTCCATACTATTAGATTAATTGTATTGAAGTTAGTTGATGGTTAAACTGTCACTGCTATCTTTTATTCTATTTGTATATTCATTGCTGCACCAGAAACACCTGCTCTAATTTCCTGCATGCATGAATTTTCCCAAAGCTATGGGAATTAGTTTGTAATTCCTGAGTTGCACAGAAATTTTGATGGGTTTGAATTTCTGTGCATCTCCATCCAAACTCTTCAGTGATACACCAACAACAACCAGAACATTTTAGTTTAATCATCTTAAATTGACTTTCACAGTCCAGCCTGTTTAGTTTTGGTCATTTTAAGGCATTATCTATTTATTAATTAATATTTATTTGACTGGGACAAAACACAATTATTGTCACATCTAATTAAAGTTCAACAAATGTAGTGTATGAAGCAGGGGCTGTTTCTTAGTCTTTATCCTCTGGTTGACAGTTTTGTCTTTGTTTAAGCTGTAGTTTGTTTTATCATTAAAAGCTTTGGGTTCAGTTAATGTTTTAATAAGAAAACAAACAGGTTAGTTTTTTTTAGGTTAATCCAAGTATTACACTCTCATTGTACCTTTAGTCTCTTAACCATATTTTGTTGTTTTTTCATTAATGTGCACATTTAAGAATCTTCTATTTTCATCCATTTTTAAAAATCAACTTGGTTTAGATGGTTGATGGTCTGAAGCCTTAAATTAGTGTCAGTGTTCAAAGATAATGACAAATCTTAAATAGTAATATGAGTCCAGAGGGTTTGATTGTGACAGAAAACAACTTTAAGGTACACACAAAAAAATCTGAAACTCCTCATTCAGAATAAAATCTGCATCAATAAGAATAACACAGTCTGAAAAGCTTCAGTGAGCAGCTCCAGATCTACAACAGGCCTCAAATCCTGGAATTCATGTTGTAAACTGCAGCAGTTTCAGCAGCTCGACTGAATCGGATCATTTCTGCAGGAGCTCCAGTAAAAATGAAGAGGAGGGAAAGACAGGCCGAACACGAGCGCGACAACTCTGATTGGACAGATTTCTATCAAGATGAGGGAGCTGCCTTCACTGAACACACACACACACACACACACACACACACACACGCTCACGACAACAAGGTCCAACTAAAGAGCCTTGGACACTCCTGAAGCTGAAGCTTCTCGCTGCATCTGATGTTTAAAAATGTTCATCTGAAGAAGAGTCACCACAAGGACAAGTCTTTACTCAACTTTAGACACCCAGAACTAAAGAAAGCTTAATTCTCAGAGTGTTTTATCAAGAAGCATCAAGTTCATGTGACGGTTTTCTTTTAGTTTCTAATTTGAAGCTTCATTTTAAATTTTGTTGTAAAGCCGAATAAAAAGTGACTTCTATTGATGAGCAAAAACATGTCCACTCAGCACAACACTACCCTGACATCTGCTGTGGTTTCTCTCTCTCTCTGTCTCACACACACACACACACACACACACACACACACACACACACACACACACACACACACACACACACACACACACACACACACACACACACACACACAGAATCAGGGCCTGTATCTTGTGGTCGTACACTCTCAATCAGCCCATCCCGGCCTCATTAAAACGCAGCAAACATCCAAAGCGAGCCACTAATTGGTCTGAATTCAATCAAGGCGATGCTGTACATCAATTTACCCTCCGTGTCACAGTTCACATGCAGTCACACACACACTCCCACACACACACTCACAAACACACAGTTCTTTTTTTCTCTCACATCAGCAAAGACAGCCTGGGAGGAGTCACTGAAAAACACTCTTCATATTTGTATGAAGATTTTACAGATAGATGATCAGATTTTAAGTAAATAAGAAAATAAACTGAGTTTTGTTGCTGTGATTTGCACACCTACAGAGGTGAGTGTTTATAAATAGTATTTTGTCACATTAGAACAATTAAAAATCTTGAATTGAAAAAAGGAACTTTGAAAAATGAGAGCAATTACTCATCAAGGAAGCCTTACATTTCATCAGTGAAGCAGTGATAGTTATATGAGCAGGTAGACATTTGCACCCCATTCATTATTTCTCCCGTTATCTTTAAGTTGCTTCAAACAAGGAGAATAAACCTCTTGAGTCCAATTTGTTTATATTTTCCCGAACATGAAACTAGAAATATTTAAATTTACAGATTTCCATCAGACATAAAAAGTTAATATAAATATTTGAGAGTGAATTTTCTTAAACTTCAAAAAAAAAAAAAAAAAAAAAACTCACATCCTGTGCATGCTGTCCTGCAGAAACATTTTAAACACTCCAAAACAGATCCAGAGGCAGATCCATGAAGTGTAAAACTGTTTTTTCCTGTATATTTTTTATCAGGCGTTACAGGTCCTTGAGGAGGAAAAAAAATGTAATGGAGGCATCCAAAATTTTAGGAGTTTATCAAGAGAGTGAATTTATTTCCAAAAGTCACTCTGGGGCCAGAGTAACCATCTTGTTTACAGTGATTTATTTACAGTAATATGATTCATTATTGCTGTTTTTACTGGCTGAAAATAAGGCCGAGCTGGTACCTTCTTTACAGCGTGAACACACACAAGCGTAGGAGCTCGAGCAAACAGTTTCCACCAGCGCCTTAATTTAGGAAGCAAGGATGATCATTTTGCATTTACTCTTCGGTCAAATAAAAACACTCATTCCTCTTTTAGTGGAGCTGAATATTTTGAGATGGTTTGATATATTGGAGCATTTTCCTGATCAGATGAGCAGCCTCAGATACTGTATTGATGAGATATTGATGAGATTTTTGCTCTGGAGAAATACTTTTACAGTAAACAACTGGGCTCAGGAAAACTGTCTCAAATGTCTTGATATTGATTTAAATTGATGATATTATTTTATTTTTTATTTATTTTGTCTGAGATCTTGTGGTGGTCCTCCCCCCAGGAAATTTTGAACACTTAACCACTCTTTATTTTAAATTATCAGGTTTTTTTTGTGCACCAATTTGACATAAAACTTCTTAAAAGGCCCTTTAAATGATGAATGTCTGGTACCTCTTTTGCATGGATGTCACATTTCACATTCTGGTCAAATTTGGAAAGCCTTAGTCTGATAAAGCTCATGAAAGGAATTGGAGTTTACTTCCTCAGGTGAAGAAGTTGATAAATTACATAAAGTTGCAGCAGATTCCTGCTGCAGATGGTGGCAACTTGTCAACCGTGAAACCACCAAGTAACTAAAACCACACAGTGAGAGCTCCTGATTCCTGTTTCTCAAACGGAGACTCGGTAAAATGTTTATTCCGGCTCAAACACGCTTCTATCAGCCTGAGTTAAGTACACCGTCTGCAGAGGAGCACTGAGAAGAATGAGCTGTTTCTTTAAGTGTCGCTGGTGAATATTTTTGCAGTTATGTGAAAAAAAAATGGTACATACCTCTGGAGATTTCAGGGTTTTTAGTGAGTGTGTCCAGTGCGTAATATCTGTGCGTAAAAGTGTCAGCTTGTAAATCGCTAATTTTTGGCTGAGTGTTATGAAATATGAGGTTATACTAGGTGTAGTTCATCTTGTTAATTACTGTATTAAAGGGGTTAATATCGTGAATGTAGTTGTAGCACTTTCGTGAGGTCTAACTAGCTGAACCGTTCCGCTCTTACAGGCAGACCGTTAAATGTGAGCCTGGTTCAGATCCTGCCTCCCTCAGTCCTGCCCTGTTCTCTGAGGCTAATAAACCTGTTATACGACCAAGCGGCTCCCAGCCCGGCCTGCAGCTGAGTAAAAATAAAACCACTCCGTTAAAGATTCCTTCAGACCACATAATCTGACCACAGAGACTCGCTGTTCTCGGTCACTGCCGCCCGACGCGTTAAAGCAGAGGCTTTAGGACCCGAGCAGGACCCGCTGAACCTGCCAGGAACTCGACTGCTAATGAGCGGCACCAGGGGGGGCGATGGACCGGGAACTGGGTTATTCATTCAGCCACAAATCCTAAACCTCCCCAAACGTCAAGGGGGGATGGACAGAAAGACTTTTCTGCCCCATGGAACCGAGAGGGGACCGGGAAGTGACTGCAGGCGGTTTAATGATGTCTGGAGCGAAATTTGCGCTTTAAAACAGAATAAAACCGAGCTGTTCCCAATCAGCAGCACTGCAGTCGACGTTTGCTTTTACAGACAGATTAGGCCGATTTAGACATGTCAATAAATTATTAATAATAATTCATACAACAAACAAATCCACATTAAACTCGAGCTCTCAGGGGCAGAGAGGAGCCGTGCGTAAAGACGCTGCGCCCCGGAGGTCAGCCTGCAGCCGGCCCGAGACAGAGTAGCACACAGGGGTCACGATTCCCACCTCCAAAGAGTGAATTTATCTGTGTTTTAAAATGAGACAATATCACAGTTAAAGTGATTAAAGTCTAATTAAATTCATGTTGTTAAAGAAGGGGCCTCGTTTGGATCTTTAATCCTGCACAAAAACATTTCTGCCTCATGAGCACTGATCTGACACATTTTGAAATGTAAGGTCTTTATTTTTTTTCACTTAGAGCGTTTTTATATATTTATATATTTATTTATCTATTTTTTTGCTTCAGAGCTCAAACAAACCTATAGCTCTCTGTTTGTCTCAGTTTGACACGAAGCATTGTGACTGGAGTTCAATACTCTGTGTCTGATCAGCTCATCTCTATTTCCCTTTACTTCATAAAATGTCAACCAGCAGTGAGATTATTATTATTATTATACAAGACAAATAAAATGTTTTTTCTTATACTCAATTTACGTTTGAGTAAATGCAAACTGGCACAAATTTTAAAATGGGCCCTAAGATTAAAAAGTTGGATAAAAGTCGTTACAAATATTTTCGCTTGTTCCAAAGATAAATAATAAATAAACACAGAGACTATTGGTTCTTATAATTGTGGATCTTCATTTTCAAACCTAGTTTTTTTTCTTTAATAAATTCTTTAATCCATTATGTTTTTTTATAATCTGGCCACACCAGCTTGTTTTTATGTTTGTACACATGCCTGCATTTCCTCCACTCCAGTGCAGATCCACAGATCCATATCAGCATGAAGGTGCATAGGAAATCTATTTTATAAATACAACACAGTATTCTACAGTTGTATTGTATAATCCATGTTAACATCGGGCCCCTACATGTTTTTACGCAATGTGGTTGATGTCTTTAAAATATGCAGTGTTGAATTTATTCCTAAAATACTCATATTATACATTTTAGTGTGTGACGCTTTTAGGGAAAAATTTCGAGCCTTAAATCTGAACCGCTTTAAGCTGCGTAAAATATGTTTGAATCTCTGATGAAGTTGAAGAGTGTGATAGAAAAACAGGACGAGCAGAGGCCTCCCTGCAGGCCTGCAGTCCAATTAAAAACACTCTCTGACTCAATGTTTGGCTCTTGTTTTCTTTTGGTATCATTTCAGAATCTCACGGGGTCCATCAGTTCACCCACAGCTAAGATTACAACTCTTTTATAAATGACTGACTAATGAGTTTGTTCAGAAGCTAATTGGTAGTAGGAGGACATTTTTTTCTTTAAACTTATTATTTAATCTCCTGACTGAAGTTCCATGTCTCTTTAACTCTGAAGGCCTGAACGCGGCAGTACTGAAGCTGCATCTGAAACAATGAACCGTTTTCTCCTCTGTGTGTGACAGCGCTGCAGCAGAGAGAGAAAAACACTCCACGATCACACCGAGGCCGTGGAACTGACAGCTACACGCTTTCACCATGTTTTGACTCGGGACTGCTCTCTCTGAGATCTAACGGAGCTGATCCGGACATTTAATCGGTGTGGTGCATGTCTGCGCACTGACCCGGGTCCATATCCAGACAGTGCGCCGGGTCCTCTCCGTCGGCGGCGAGGCTCTCCATGGACAACTCCAGCTCCTTCTCCTCCCAGCCCCGCAGCTTCCTCTTCTTGTTGGAGCCGATCAGGGCTTCCACGGAAAAAGCGTGGGCTCTCGAGCTCAGAGCTGCGGCAGATCGCCTCCTCTCACTCATTTCTCTCAAATCCACCCAAGGGGGGGAGGACGCGGCTGAAAACCCTCTCCGTCCGTCCAACGCAGTGATCAGAACAGAGGAAAAGCACACGTCAGTGTTTACAGCGGGAGAGAAACTCACCAAGTGTCCAAAGTAATCCCAACTGAGACTAGAAACGCCGCCTCAAACTTTGGAGGGCTGAACGTGCCATCCTGGCTGCGCGTGAGCTGGAGTCCGAGAGGGTTGGTGGTTTGGATGCGGTGTGCCGCTTTTGCGCGTCTCTCCGTCCTTCCACTCCGCGACTTTCTTTTTCTCTTTCTGTCCCCCCAACTCCTCGCTGATTGATACTCACTTCTGGAGGAGTTTTTTTTTCCTCCAGGCATAGAGGGCGGGGCTTATGCGATCTGTCAAAGTAGAACAGCCAATGAGAAGTGAGGAAAGGGAGCGAGACAAAGTATGTCGTCCAATGAGAGCAGAGGAGGGAGATGCGCGTCCCGGAGGGCTGAAGAACTTACTCCATGATATCAATATTTGAAAGAAAAGAGATCAGCTAAGTTTGTGTCTTCCCATCTGAAGATTTAAACATTTGACTCGAGTTTATTTGTAAAAAGTTAAATAAAATCATGAAATTGCCTCAAATTTTGATTAAAATGAATTGTTTTTGACTCATGACTCACTGGTGCAGCTGACAGCCTCATCCTGCAGCTCCACTTCTCCTCTCAGTGCTTCTTGATCCACCAGCCTCCAAGTTTGACGACCTTGGGTGATAAAGCGCATTGAAGGCTTCCCTCGCGGCCTCCGTTGCAGAACTTCCCAAAGCCTTCCCAGTACGCGCGCGTGTGTGTGAGCCTCTGAGCGCATCATTACGCTGCAGGATTGTAGGAAAAGTCACATTTACAGCTTCATTGTGTTCCTGACAGCTGAGGAGAGGACAGGTGGGCTGATCTCAGAGCTGCTTTAACAAAGAGAGAGAACCAGGAGATTAGCGGTCAAACAGTCTCTGCTCGGTGTGTGTGTGCGCGTGGCGCGTGTTCCAGTGGATCAGCAGGTCAGTAACAGAACATATACAAAGTTTAATAACTAGAGTTAACACTGAAGAGGAAATTAATCAAAAAGTGCACGTGAAAAAACAAATCTGTGTTTCGCATGAACAGCCAGTTATGCGGTTAGTCGACTAATCAATTTGGTAAAATTAACGTCGCGGTTAGAAACTAATCGAACAGACTGACCGATCAAACGTCAAGTTACTTTAGATTTATGGACAAATATTTGATAAACATGAAACAGAAGCACGTGTTTACATACGAATTCACAATAATATTTTGTACTGGGACAGTAAAATAAAGAACATATGATAACATTTTTATTTTGTGTTTAGAAATAGAATAACATTAACAATAACAATTGTTGATAAATATCAGGCTCATAAAAATTGACAATATTAAAAATACTTAACTGCGTCACAACTTAAACAACTATCCCTATAATGATAATAATTTAAAATACAAATACGAATGAAAATACAAATAAATACAACAGCTACCCAATACTTTTACTGCCATTAAATAGTAATGACGACAACAACAACAATAATAAGAATAATTATTATTATGATAATAACAACAAAACAACAATAATAATAATGATAATAATAATAATGATAATAAATGCATGTTACCTGATTGAGTCTGAAGTCATAGTCTGTAATACTAGACTATTTTCAAACCAGAGTCCACACGCTCCGTCCTTTTTCCTTCAGTTCGTTTGGAGTTAGGATAAGATCTGACTTAATTGATCCCACAGAGGGGGATTCCCGGTTTTAGCAGAATCAAAGGATCTGCAAACTAAATATTAAACAGGAAAATTAAAAGCTCAAGGGAAATTGGAAAGTTTTATTTCCTAACTCTTGCACACAGTGCACAGAGGCTGGACGTGTTATTGCACACTTTTGCACAGGAGCAAAGTTTAAGACACATGGTTTACTGCACATTTGTAGGCTGATAGAAGTAAGTCTATTTTCTGTTGGTGTTCCTTTACTAGGAGTGAGCTTGGTGATTGTGTTTGAGGAGAGGGTAAGTGTGCGCACCATAGCAGGCCTGAAGTCAACCTGTGTGGACCTGTGGGGTCTGCAAAGCGAGAGTAAACCAGAGGGTCAACGCTGTGCCTTTTGATATCATGAAATAAATAATGAATTTCTGCACAAAGGTAGGTATATTCAACATAAAAAAAATAATGTAGAGCTAATGGGATCACATGCAGAATATTCACTTAGAGTGACTGAGTGTAAAAGTCACATAGCCTTCTTTGTTTTGATATCAAATGGACATAAAAATATGAGACATAGGCCCTATTTTTTATCGTAACCAAACACGATGTTGACGATGTTCACTGTTGACGAGTAACCTCTCGTTACACCGAACACTAAAAAATAAACTTCTGACTCTTTGGTTGAAACGCAAAAAACATTTGAACGTGATCCGAACTATTCGTAGATCAAGATCTAACCATCCAAGATTCAGACATTATTACGCGTCATTTCGACCGGAAATTAAGCAACACCACTTGAGGCTGTAAACAACAACAACAACGACAACAACTATATGTAAACGGGGCGGAGTAAATCCATGCGCGTAAATTCGCCGTTATGGTGGGTTTCAATCCACGCGAAAGGAAACTCGTTAAAGACTCGCAGTAAAACCTTAAACCAACTGTTAGCTGTTCAAATCCCTCCTCTCGTGAACCCAAAACTGGAGCATGAAGGCCACATCGAAACCGTTTCATTCTCCCAATCTGATATTTTTCCTGAGGGTTTTATGGCGTTGGGTACATCCCAATATTTCCCCTCAGACACTTTCTTTTTTCATTTCTACATTTAAACTCCTTAAACACGTTATTTCTACATGTTGGGTTTCAGTGTTTAAACTGTGGGATTCTCTGACTCTGCGCCAAACACGAACAGTCATAAAACCCCAAATCCTCTCTGAATAACCTTTGTTTCCTCTCCTCTTCGCTGCCAGACAGACACGTGCTTCGGTTTGGTGAAAACGGTCAAACGTGGCGTTAATATTCAATTAGGAAAAGAAAGCGCTTGACCTGTTTGACCCCGGAGATGGAGCGCGCAAAAAGCTGTAAAGCATCAAAGTGGGAGCAGCTCTCGGCTTGTTTCAGCACCTTCCTCCAGAGTCCGGGCCAAAGACTGAGTGAGCTTCAGCGCGCAGGGGCTGGGGTCTTTACAATCAGAGAGAGAGCAGCTGCGTGAGGCAGGATGTGTGGATGGAAGCGACGCGAGGGCCTGTGCGCTAAAGACGAATTCAAGGCGAAGAAAGCAAAAGCATCAGACTCATTTGAGACGATGATGCTGCCGGGTTTTATTTTGCATGTTTGACTTTAATACCAAGAAATATTTGTCAACGATAAAATCTAAACCTTTAAAAGTTCTTGTACAATTTTGAAAAGTTTGGCACAACAAAAAGAGTCCAAAAAACAAACAAAAAAAACTTAGTGTGTCACAGTCTTTCGTGCGTAAAAACAAGCATGTATTGGTAAATGGCGTTTTAGTTCCACTTTTAAATATTTTCCTTTCTAACATTAAGTTGTTTTAACTCATAGTTAAAAAAACTGTTCTTTAGTCAGTGATGTTTATGCTTTTTCAATAAAGAACTATTCAATGCAACCCCTTTAATTAGATAGCATGATATTAAGAAAAAGGAAATTAAGAAAAATAATTTAAAGGAAATTTGGAAACTTATAAATACATATAGTTTGTACTTTAGTGCATGCATATGAATAACTACCGTCACAAACTCACAGAATCATTGCGCAGTGGGATGAACAATCCCACTGCGCAATGCGATGTCGAAATGACGTCTATTTAACGTATTTTTTTTTTATTTCAACGTCAGAAAGAGGTCCAATAATGACGTCTAAATCTTGGATCCATTTTGCACGTTGTGCTGACGTCCAGATTTGGTCCTCAGATGACGTCGAAATTCTAAAAATCTAAAGGAGGGCCAACTTGGATGTCGAAATTTCTAACCTATTTTGCACATCGCACTGACGTCTAGATGTCTTTGACTGACCGACCTAATACTGACTTGATCTGCACGTCTCTTCGACGTTGGTGGGATTCATCAGATTGTCTAATCCTTACATGATACCTGGACTCTAGAATTAACCAGAAGTGGATCGAGTTCAGGGTTACAGTAGATCCACAGCATGTTGTCACTGAAGGGTTGCAGAATATCTCTAAAAATATCAGACTGGTTTTGTGATTTTCTCTGATGAAATACAGTCTGACATCTCTGATGTACACTCTGATATGGACAGAGGGAAATTTAACATCTGAATAACAGTTTTAGACAGGCAGCATTGATCTCTACTGTTATTTTTAAAGTGACTTTTTGTGACATTAATTCGTTTGGTGAAATCTTACATTGTAGTGACACGAAATCTTTAAACAGGTTGAAAATTGGTACAATATATTTCAATAATTGAACAGAAAACTAGTTACTATAAGAGAACCAACAACACGAGTAACTTTATTTTTTATGTGTCTCTCCTCCTTCCTACCTTCTTCCACTGTCAGATGAAAATGTTTCTGCTAGATATGATTTAGAAAACTAACACTTTGGACACTGAGCTCTGGGGGCGATACAGACGATAATTAATTACCGATTTGAAACAGAATAATGAACTTTTATGAGGTTTTAATCAGATATTTGATTCAGCCAATCCTCGAAATCTAAAGTCTTAATGCAATAATGTGGATACAATTCTGCACAAAAGGGCCACTTTATCTGTAATGATTCAGTTGCTGATTAAATAGGTAACATCACTCATTCTGTCCTTGTTTGGCTCTTATAAACCTTCACATATCGGGGACATGTTTGTTCTCTAACGATGGATTTAAGAGAAAAGTGTGCACCACCAGACTCCTTTAGGATGAATTTTTGCATCATGATTCATCAGATTTTCTGCTCTTCTTGCACAAATCTAAACTGCATTTGAGAGAGATAATAAAAGGCAAAAATTAAACACTAAACTGCTTTATAACGCACTTTGAAATATAGTTTGGTTTTGTTATTTGACTGTAATTGGAGCGCACTAATGTGTGCTGCATGGTAAAACGCTTCAGGAGCTGCAGGAGAACCCGTCAGCATCAATAAGTTTCATGTTTATTTTTCCGTTTCTTTCCAGGCTGTAGCTGTTTATATTTAACACCATTTCTCCTGTAAATCAGGTTTATTACGATCTTATTAAAGTTTTTACTCCTGCGCATTATCCGGTTCAGTGACGGAGCGGTCTTCGCACCGACACAGAAAAACGCAGCAGTGCGATCACCGCGGGATCCAGAGTTTGTCAGAGAGAGAGAGAGAGAGAGAGCGAGAGAGAGCGAGAGAGAGAGAGAGAGAGAGACAGAGAGCGAGAGAGAGAGGGTCCGCGTGATTTACAGCCTGCTGCTGCATTAGTGTGTGTGTGTGTGTGTGTGTGTGTGTGTGTGTGTGTGTGTGTGTGTGTGTGTGTGTGTAGTCTATATATTTATATTTATACACCGTCAGCTGCTCCTGTGCCAAGAAAAAAAGGACCAAGGGAAATAAACCGAGCGAGGACACACTCTGTTCCCAGGTAAACATCAGGATGGAAAAAACACCACATGGTCTATAGCTGTGTGTGTGTGTGAGAGAGAGTGTTAGGCCTTCAGAAGTGCATTTTCAATTAGAGAAAGTGTGAAGGCAGAGAGTTAAAACAGTGAGTGTAGAAACTGCAGAGGATCAACTGAAAGGGAGTGTTTTTATTTTTTTGTCTTTTTGCACATTATTTTCATTCTTAAGTTTTGTAAAGCACCTTTTGATTCTCGTCTGTGTAAAGTGCAAATAAATAAAACTTACTTATACTTTCACCTTTGCTGCTGTGTTTTTAAGGAGTATAAAGGAACATGTGTGATTTTTATTGTGTATGTGCTTGCAACCTGCACAAAATTAATTGATAGAATACTTTAAGTATATGCAAGTGTTAGTGATGTCACTTCAGTAAAATAAATAGGAGTGCATGTATGAGTTTGCAGCTAATTGAAATTAACCTGATTGACTTCATCACGTGATAAAATGTCAGTTAAAAATCTTAAGTTTCATGATGCGCACAATAACGCTTTGTCTTTTCTCTTACCTACAGTAACAGTGCATCGTGTGTTAAACTTTGTGTTCTTGTCAGCATGCATTAGTGTGTCCCAAGTTTGATGAAATATCAATCAGATTAATGATCAAAATGTGAAGCTGCAAATGTTTAAAAATATTTTTCCAATTTTTCAGTATTTTAAGAGACAATAAAAGCTCTAAAAAGCAGATTATACATGAATTTCCACCACACACACCCTCCATCACCACGTGTCAGTGTGAAGTCTTTACCTGTGGACTCCTTGCTCTCGCTCCACGGTGTGTGAAGCTCCATCCTGCAGAGGCTGAGAAGTGACATTTTCCCTGCAGCTGAATATCAGCAGGTTAAATTCATGTCAGGACAAAATACATCAGTAGTTCTATATATTTAACTCTTCATCTACTCCATCTTCAACTTTCATTGTGGAAAAGACGCTGCATTTCATATTCATGTATAAAAATGTAACTCTTAATCTTAAAGTCTTTGCAGTGATTATGTTTTCAGATGCTGTCTGCCCATTACATCCCATAATCTTTTAGTAATGTCTAACTCTTGTATAAAACCCTCTCTGAAGTCATATTTCTGAACAACAGACAGCACACAAATCCCAGAACTTTCCTCAAGCTGTTAATTCTCACTGTTACATTCTTACTCCGTCTTTAACTGCCCTGGACTTTTATTTATTTTGTCTGTGATCAAATGTTTCATACTGCACATTTGCAGAAGTTTGGAAGCATTTCCTGTGACTGGTCTTTCGTTTTTTTTTTTCACACTTCTCTAATTTCTTCCATCTCTTTGTCTCTGTAAGCCACTTTTGATGCACTGCGCTGGTGCATATTTGTTTTGAAGTGGTGGAAATGAAATCGCACACTTTTCAAAATGTTTAACATCTGTCACACAGAGTTACTCTGGTCTGAATCTTATTTTTGAAAATGTGTTTTTCCCTTGTTGTATTTTTTTTTAATCTCTGTCTGTCCAGATTAAATGAATCAAATAAGATCCCAATCCAGATATATAAATGTCTAAATGCTCTTCAGAGTGAACAGAACTATGGGCTCTTGCTCTGACTCGGTTTACACTGGTTTTTAAAATGTGTATTGATCAGATCACAAGAGTTGAGACATCACTTCTTGTCACTTCAGCTGGAAGTTGTCAACGGTAAGGATAAAACCTGTCAGGTTTGGGGGATTTGGAAGAGAACTTTGGGGTTATTACTGTTTGATTTGACAAAGTACCAGGAGAACCAGGATTTGGTTTCCTGTAGGCAATTGGAGAAAAAAGTGGGCAGGAGGGAGGAGGTAGGTTTGATTGACAGATAGAGCTCGGTGCCATCAGTAAATCGATACAGGACATGGCCAAGAAGAAGTACAAATATGATAAACCAGAAGGGGCCCTTGGATAGAACCTTGTGGGACACCAGTAATGACAAGAAATGACTGGGACAGTTTTAAGTTGAATGAACTGAGTAGGATCTAATCCGTTTTACTTGGTAGCTGTTGTACTTGTATGTAGTGCTGTATCTTTATAATGCAATCATGCAAGATCTATTTTATAACCACAGGTAAACAGGGGGAAGGGGAGTGTATCCTCTGAGGCCAAGAAAACTAAATATTGGAGAGAGTGCCAAACCATTAAGATAGGTTCATATTGTTTAGTAATGAAGCAAAGACATACAGTAGACTGTTGAAGGCTGATAAATAAAAAACAATGTCTTGTGAAATATTGTTGTATTCAGACATCCTCCTTATTCAGTTCAATGGAACGACCTCAGAGGGTCAAGGCGAATCAAAAAGTTGTCCTTCAACCAGTTTTTAGTTTGACCCCATGATCACCCTTCAGTTGCCATGTTGCCTCTGCATTTTAAAAAACAAACAGTCATGAATTAAGATTTGACATAAGGAGCTGAGAAGAGCATCAGTTTCCACTTCGGCTGCCTTTCAGCTGAAGCCCACCCTCTGTCGGACCTCTCTGAGCACCGGAGCAGCCAGCTCTCTCGCTTTGTGTGTCCCCTGAGTCAGCACTCCCTCCAGGTGAGCCTGGTCCTTCCTCAGCCTCTCGATCTCCTCTCTGATGGGGGTCAACCTCTGGACCACAGCCTCAGTTACAAGTTTCTTATACTCTCCTGTGTCCATCCCTCTGGCTTGAAGCACCGCCTCCTCTGTACTGATCATCGCCATGGCAGCGTGGATCATCACCAGGTTCGATACGCCCGGCCGTGTCTCTGGGTCATACGTGACCTTGGAGGTGAAGTCTGTGACGGCGCGGCGAATCTTTAAGGCGATGTCGTCAGGCGAGTCAGTGATGCTGATGGTCGCCAACGTCTGGGGGTCTGATTTGGACATTTTGGAAGTCGGGTCACGAAGAGACTTGACTTTTCGTGTGGTGCCTGTAGAAGGAGATCAGAATGAGGAGTGCATTCATTTGAGGAGAAAACAACATTATTCATTTATCGAGCAAACAAAAAATGTTTTAGGTGTAAGTGCACTGACCCTAACCCTTTCATATGTTTTTAAAACTATAAACAGGAAGGTCATCTTTGGGAAATGTAGCAATCAATTATTGTTTACTTGATTAGAAAAAAGATGTTCCCTATGGCAAAATCAGTACCTAATGTGTTTAATCAAAATTATATTTTAATTGCTACAGGGACACAGTGGACATACAGATCGTAAACAGGTTTTCACATTACTTAACTGAATATCAGAGGAGGAGCAGGGTCATTAAAATAATCTCTGCAGATATAAAATCATACAGAGTGAGGCTCAAACTACTACTATAGAATTATTGTCAGAATCACAGTGACCAATTTTCTGCATACTTGTTCTTATTGAGAAAAAACAAACATCACAATCTCACAGGTAGTAGCTTTGCAAGTCTGGCAAAACTCTCTGCAGTGACTTTTCACTGATCTGTCAGCTTTGTATCCAAAGATTGGATAACATCCTGTAAAAAGCTACCATCCTCTGTGTCTGGTGTGTTACTGGTGGCTTTTCATTCAATACTTAGTTAATTGCTAACCTAACTAATGTATTCCTAAAAATTAGCAAATGAAATATATAAAAAATAGGGTTATGAGAAAAATTGATTCACATGAGTATCGTGATTTTTTGTTTTACAATTTTTAAATCATTCAAAAATGTTCCAAATTTAAGAATAAATCTTAAAAACTGACAAACTAATGTGTATTTTTGGGGAAATATGGTTCCTGGAATAGTCATTAGACAATCATAATCATTCAGCTGTTTCACTGGTGTTCAAAATGCAGACTAAAGATCGAGAAAATCAACAATATCATTAAATCGCAATTTACATCGAATCGGCATCCAAAAAATCTTAGAAGAATTGAATTAGGAGAAAAGCATATCATCCCAGCCCTATAAAAAATATCAAATTTTCTCGTAAAAACATATTTGAATCATTTATTTTCAAACTACAGACGTTTCAGATGTTAAACTTTAATTCTTGATATAATTGAGTTTTGTTACATTATGACGATATCAATTCTATCAATTCAAACGTCTATAAGCTGCTGTTTTAAGAGGCTCCGACACAGTCAGTCTTTGTGCAGCAACACAAGAAGAGTTACAGTCTCATTACTGCTGACTGGTTGTGTGTATCTGTGTGTGTGTGTGTGTATATGTTGAGGCGTCCCGGTGTGAGGCAGACGTAAGTCAGTGTGAAGTGATGAACAGACTGCAGGAGCCTGGATTTCCTCTCCTGTCTGATTTATCAACCCCATCCTTCCTCCAGCTCACCAGATCGGACTTTTTCTTCTGCTCTTCCACATCCTCCCCACATCCTCCTCATCACCACGGAGACGTCTCATTTCTCTCAAATTAAAAAAATCTTAAGGAGTCTTTGGTTTGGTTTTTAGAGGGATGGTGGTGACTGGCAACTCGGGTTCGCCAAAGACCGAAAATAAGAATCCACCAGTGTGTGCTGATCGAATCCTGAATACGCACAAACGCGCTCACACAGAGACACAAACCGCTCCCTGAAGTCATCTCGAGGACACCCTCCTGAATCTATTATCACTCTATTATTCTGATACAAGAGGAAGAAGAGATTTCTTTTAATCAAAGCTGCTCTGCACACATGACTGACTCCATCTTCTGCCTTTATGACGTTGATAATCAGAGAAGATGAAACTGGGAACATGTTGACCATGTGTGTGTGTTAAACAGTCTGTGGCTGCTGGCTGGAGGAGGACAGTCATCATTTTAAATATTAATATGGTTTATTGGAGAAAGGCCAAACACTCTGAGCGCTCTACTCCGACTCCTCATTCTGAAATGAGATGGATGGGTCAAAAAAGAGAAAATAGATAAAAAACAAAAACCTGGGACTTTCATCAAGTCTGGAAAACCGTCAGAGAACATGACTCGCTGGAATTAAATAACAGGAATAAACGACAAATGTAACATGGACAAAACTGTTACACACGATTTCATCTGCGGAGACGATGACAGTTTTTGTTCGGCATTAGCTGTTTATTTAAATTCACAACTCCTGAAATTTTCTTGATACTGCAAAACAACTAAATTAAATCTACTATTGTTGTTTTGTTTAAATAATCTTATTATAGCTTCCAGAGTAAAAAGTATATTTAATCCTATTTCACACCAAAAACATTGCTTTCTTTTTGTTTTTAATTGTGAACCTTTTTAAAAAACTGTACCCTGCACCCTCTCCTTACACACTTTCTCGCTGTTTGCTCACGTGGAGGTCTGCCACAGTGAGTCCCGTCTACACTCGCTGAGCGTGGAGTGAAAGTGAGTTATTAGACCCTCCAACAACAAATCTGCACTAACACAGGCCTGCTGACCGGTTGTAGTGCCATTAGTCGTTGGTTGATGCCTTGTAAATAAGTGTGTGTGTGTGTGTTTGTAATAACACGTCCAACATTGCTTGTTTAGCGGGTGTAACTGTATCTATTAATGTATTTTAAGTTTTTTGTATTTTTAACTTCATCTTTGTGGTTATCCGTGCACCATGTTCACTGAATTTTCTATCCGCTCTGCTGCTTCTAACACTGCTAATTTTCATAAACTACTTCATAAAAATAAAAATAATAGAATCAGACAGATGTACAAATCTAACAGTTTACATTATCTTAAAGATCTACTTTCCAGTTTTGAAATCTGCATGTTTTACACTTCCTGTGGGTCTGTCTGTTTAATGGCTGTAGATGCAAACTCTTTGTTATTTGTGAGTCATGTAAACATAAAAGTTGATGTTTCTGCAGGAATGAGGGGCTGGTGGTGAAGTGAGCGTCAGTGAGTGTGACTCTCAGCAGAGTGAACTTCACAGCTGAGTGTAAGTGTGGAGGGGATTAAGCTTGCATTACTTCTTGACAGACTCCTAAATTTGTTGTAGTAACTTTGCAACACAAACACTCATCTTCTGAAAATTACAGATATATCCTGATGCTTGTATGTGTATGTCAATAGAAGATGCCAAATAAAGTTTATTTTGATTCGTCAGAGTTGGGAACTAAGACATTACAAGCAACAAGACCAGAATAGTCTTACGTCTAAGTTTAACTATGTTATGGAAACTTATTGAATATTATTACATGCCTTAATATTCTGTGTTTTGTGTTTGATGTGGTATCTTAACTGTTATTATAAGTGCTGTAATAAAAGGGATTTCCTGTGAAGGATCAATACAGCATTCATCTCTCTGATTTTGATTGTGTTTTTTTAAACAAAGGTTAAAGAATTCAGATATGGGCAAAAAGTCACCCAGAGAGATTGAATCAGAGATTACTACTTATTTCAGTGATAAAACTACTGAATACAAATTTCTATCTACAGGAAGGATAGAAATATAAACAGTTTAATATCCCATTAAAATTAACTTTGAGCTGTTAGGGGTTTTTATGGTCTTACCAAAAGATCCTGAATAATTCTGTGCATAACAAAAATGCACAACTCTGATACTTACTGTCCACTCTTACAGATCTATTTCCCTTTTTCAGGAGTCCAAAACAACTTAAACCGAGTGTGTGTGCATGCCGTCATATTTATAAACATGTGAGTGTGTTCTTACTGAGCAGGGTGGCGGGTTCAGGGAATGTCTTTCCGTACCGGTTGTTGAAGCTGCGAGCGATATCCAGAGCCAGCTCTAAATGCTGGACCTGATCCTCTCCAACAGGGACGTGAGTGGACCTGAGAGGAGAACCAAGACCAGGATTTCAGCTTTTCTTTAACAGTCGAACACACTGATAGTACGGGAGGTAAAACACACGAGGAGATGTGAGCACAAATTGGAGACAGTTGGAGCCGACTCTTCAGCGTAGCTTTGGAAAGACTGCAACTGTCAGTCTGGAGGAAACCAGCCATTTATTTCACGTTTAATAAAACCCAGAGAGAGGGTAAGGGATGAGCTTTTCTCTGGTACTTTGCCCTTTTTCACAGGAAATTAAGTTTTGGTTGTTTGATGGTTCAAAATATCTCAGTCTTTCATTTACCGAGAGAAAACACTCAGCAACAGTGATTCGAATAGTTCACTAGTTTACCAACTGAAGTTACAAGTAGCTTAAAAAACACTGAATAACAGAAAAATAAGGGGCTGCACAAAGATCCTGGTGTCTCACTTGTAGAGGAGAATATCAGCAGCCTGGAGGACGGGATAAGTGAAGAGACCAACGCTGCCTTCATTCTTCTGTTTGCTTTTTATCTGAGAAAAATACAGAAGGAGAAAAGTTTAGGTTGAGATGCAAGAAAAAAAAACAGATTAATAGACTAAATTTATCTTCCTCTTGTCTAAAAGGGAAATTTTCACTTGGATTGAGTTGAGATTTTCAGACAAACACGGCACGGGTGATTTCACGTGACATTCTCCACCATGTTTGAGATCGACTCGTGTGTTGGGTAAACAAAAGGTGTTTTCCATTAAGCAGTGGGACACTTTTTGGCTCCCTCACTGTCTTATTAACATATATGAAAACAGCCTCTAGCTGAAGGAAAATCACAGTAATTATTTACTGTTGTGAAGTCTGGCAGGTAAAGCCAATAAATAAAATGATAAAAACAGACAACAGAGATGCTGGACAGACGCTGAGGATTCAGGGAGAGAAGAACGGAGCAGCGTTATTTGTTACTGAAGTTAAACACTGGCTCCGAGTATGAAATCAGTGAGGACACGAGAGAAGAGCTCAGACATATGACATCAATCCTCATTAATAATAGACAGTAAAAATAACTATTCCTTTAATATGGCTAGACTAAAACTACGTCATTCACAGAAGTCTGAGCTGGATTTAAAGGTTTTTCTCTTCCTGACAGAAATAAAAAGTATTTCTCTGCACTTTTGTTCCCTGTTGGTTTATGAATTCGAAGATATGATTGAAAAAGGACAAAAAGCAGAAGCTGCAATAAACTTGAAAGCACAAGAACCAAAAATATCTCACAGCCCTAGTACATCTTTAAATGCCATTAACAATAACTAAAAAAAACTCAGTTCAATAATTACATTTATAAATTAATTCTTATGATTTTAACAGACCCTGTAGCTTCGATACCGTCCACGATCCCTAGTTAAACTATCGATAGATGAGCCATGAGTCGCACATCCCATAAACTTTTACCTTCTCAACTACCTAAAAAATATAATTTTTTGATTATGCAAAATATTTAAAAAAAGAAGGAAAAAAAAAGAATGATTTTTTGTTTATGACAAAATGTGTTTTTGCATGTTTGAGTGGGAGAGTCGGCTGCAGGAAATCTCCACAAACCTTCCACTGAGGCAGGTGCCTGAGGCGAGGCATGGTGGTCAGACAGCCCAGGATCCAGGAGAGCTCCGCGTGCTCTGACACCTGCAGCATTAAGAGAGATTTTAGAGGAATAATGACCCGTCATGGGTGAGTTAACGAAATAAATAAACTCTGCTCCTCTCTGGCTGCGTATTCTTGTAAGTTTTATGTTTGTAAGGCTGAATAGAGATGTATAAGAGAGAGTTTACTGAAAGCAATAAAAACTTGACATTATGTACACATGACCGTGCATATGCATATCTCTATACATACATACATACACATGTACTCCATACACATGTGCATCAATAAACCTGTTGTTAATTTGGCCCAAATACAAAGATAAATGCTGCTAACCACAGAGAGGAGATGAATGGAGGAAGTCAATTAAGCAGACACGTTAAACAAACACAGATGAATGGATGAGAGGTCTGTTATGGGACAGCTGTGGAGGAGGAAGAGGGTGACCTCCTAACGCCTCCAAGTGGCCGAGAAGAGTACTACCAGTCTGTGTGTCTGTCAGTCATTACACAGACACATGCACCTGCTCACACCTGTGTTTACTGACAGGATGTCTGAGTTTAGAGTCAAGTTTTAAATATGAAAATATACACATAAAAAAAACAACATTTTGAAATAAATTTAAAAAATGAAATTGAAAATGCATTTCCTGGTTTAGATTTTCTGTTTTTGTTCTTATTTTATTTTATTTTATTTTTTATTGTGGAAAAAGACTTAAAAATACAGACTTAAATTTTCATTTACTTGTGTTTTAACATTTTCTGGACCTGGACAACACTCAGTTTTAGTAAAAGGTTGTCATATAAGACACTATTTGGCTAAGCCCTTAATGTGACTTATATTTGTGACGCCCAACACTGGCAATGTGTCTTTAGTTTTGACTTACTTAAGCAATCAGATAAAAGTGCGCTCTTAGGGCCTTTTTTAAATACAATTTTTGAACATTTTTAACAGAAATATAGTTTAAAAAGCTCTCTTTACATATTTAATGTATCATGAGTGAACCAGCTGGGGTCATCTTGGGGTTTAGTATTGTAAATCGACTGAGAATAAGTCAGCTAATACACACTTCAGCAATTTAAACATTATAAAAACATCGTCTGCCTTCACTGCTGCATAAACTCTGCCTTTTAGCTTTCATTTTCATTTCATATTCCGTTCAGTTGCTGGTGATTTATTTGTGAATTAATTTAAATTAATTAAAAATGTTTCTGATTTAGGTTAACAACAGCATTATGTGGAGTAATGGACAGACGACTCTTAATGTGGTGTAGCTCGTGCATCTGGCTGCAGTAAATTAACTCCGACATATCCGCTTTCATGGAGTGAAATGTGTGTGAGGATGCAGGAAATATCCTTCTGCTCTGCAAATTAAACTTTATGGATGCTGGCTATATTGCCATCCCTTCTTTTTTTTTTCTTCTTCCTCCTGTTGCTTGAAAAGCATTCTGGGGAGCGTGACGTGGAGAGCAAAGAGCGGGGACATAAAGCAGGATCTCTGGCGAACACGTAGGGGGTCGGTGTTCATTACACTTTGCAGACAGACGAGAGATGGGACAGATGTGGATGACAGCGTAGAAAGGGATGAATGTGGTTTGAAATGCAATAAAAGCCCGATATTTAAAAGCTTGGGAGGAACAAGGAATCTATTCATGCAGAGAGAGATCTGCTAATGTTACGGGTGATACACTGATAGTGAATTATTACACAACTCCTTCAGGCTGTAAAGACGGGATTTTAGACACCAGATTAGCGTTGGCTCTGCACAGGAAATCCACATTTGTCATCAATACCTTTCTAAACCCGGAGGATTTGTGGATCTGCTGATTCATTTACTTCCCTCTTTGCTACAACCGGGTTGAGCTCGTCACCAGATCTGCTCCTTATTTTTTTGAATGAGTATTTTCTTTGGGCAGATGTCGTATTTTTACATGTGGAGCAGGCGTGTTCAACAGGAGGGTCGTCTGGCTGCCAAGTTATGTGGCATGAAGCTAAACGGGAATAAAAATAGGACTGTGAGTGAGTGAGTGAGTGTATAGAGGAGGGGGTTTGGCATAGAAATACAGATGGACTGAAGTTAACTCTCACAAATACTCCTACAATCCCAAACTTATGAGAAATAAAGGAAAACACACAGAGTAAAACAGTGTAATCAGCCGGACTCCTGCCTTCGTCCTCTCTGTGAATCTACAGAAGTCCTTCAGAAATCTATTATCTCCTCATCTGTAGTTCCTTCATGTGGCCAAAGCCAAAGCTTTAATCGTGGTTTTTACAGTTGCGTATGTTTTTTTAGCCCCTGTGAATTTGCAGAGCGTACAGTGGAGATAAGAATCAGGAGCGATCAAATGAGCGGTTACGAGGCCGAGCCAGCGTGTCAGCAGGTAAACATTACCGAATCGACAGCAGGAAAATAAACACTCAAAGATGGCCGACTGTCTGAGTGGAAAACTTTGCCTACCTTTAGAAGAAGAGGTGCACATTTATACTTGAAATACTTTCATACTTGAAAACTTTTCCACAGTAATTATGATTCAATTAAAAACTTATTTTTGTAGCTGCAGATGTGAGCTTTGAACAAGTACACAAGTCTGTTAAACTAGAGTGTTTCTCAAGTTAAAGTGTTAGACGGCTCTGCTGCTTGAGTATGATCCAGTTTTATCAGTTATCTATTACTAAAAGCTATTTCCACTGTCAAATCAAACAAGTATTTTTCCACCTAACAACAATGTTTACAGTCAGTAAATTGTAAGATGAGTTGTCATTTATTTCTTCTATTATTTATCTGATCTTTGTAAATTTCACTGATCTTAATTTTGTTTTATCCCCTTTTAAATTATAAATCCCCTATTTAAATTACTCCATCTTCATTTCAATTATTTTTATAACCATCTCATTTCAAATATTAGTCTTTTATTTTTGTGTTACTCCTCTAGTGTTGCAGCTGTTGTTATTTTCTTTCTGTACTTTTGTGAAGCACTTTGGGTTGCTTACTTGTCTGTATGTAGGAAAGATGCTTTATAAATTAAGTTGAATCATTGAGAAGTTGTGACCACCCAGATTGATTCTTCTAGCTCCACTACATTGTAAATTATGTTTATTGCAGGACCAGTAGGTCCCTCAGCCCCTCCATCTCCTCCTCCTGCTCACCTGAGACTGCTGGAAGAGAATCGCCCTCTCAGGGTCGATGCCGCAGGCCAGCAGGCTGGCTGCCATGTCTAGTATGTTGCTCCTGAGCTGGGCCGGGTCCTGAGGCTGGGTGATGGAGTGCAGGTCCACGATGCTGTACAGTACTAACGGATACTCGTTCTGCAGGGCCACCCAGTTCTCCAGGGCACCCAGGTAGTTACCCAAGTGGGGGACCCCAGTGGGCTGGATTCCTGAGAATACTCTTCTACCTCCTGGAGGATCCTAGAAAAAGAGAGAAAGGGATGTTACAGATAAATTTATTTGCACTTCATAACTATCTGTTTTAGTCAACATCGATGAAGTTGTTTCAGAGACTTCCTTTGTTGACTGAACAGGAAAGCCACACATAAACATTGAACAGCGGACTATGTAATCGAAGTTCTACCACTTAACTTTTTTACCCCAAACATATCTACTTTCTTTTTTGTCGTTTAAGGTTTCGTATTAATTTGGAGTTGAGATATCTAAAAACTTGTCTTTACTTCAGTTTAGATCAGATTTTTTTGGGTTTCTATAATAGTTCAGTGGACGGTTAAGGAAGCGACAGTCAAATGTTTGGCTAGCCCAGCATCTTAGTGGCTTTTTCTCCGGCCCCTTTCTGATTCATTGCATTTCTCTATATCGTGACAGTTTCTAAGATGACTGACTTCAATGCATGCAGGTTTTTTTATTTCCAGAAAATAATCTCAGAATTGATTGTGACAGCCTGAAATCCCTGAAAACCAATAAAAAATCTGCCAAAGCATTACTGTGTGATTGTTCAGAATCATACAAAACATGTAAAATGTTAAAAACACTTCAGAATTAAATCTCTGGTAAATACAGAGGCCTAAGGCTTCAAGTTAATTTTTCCATTTCGTATAACCTGAACTTTTTGCTCCTACCATGTTATGGCTTTAGTCACTAAAATTTCAGATGCCCTAAAAAAGTTTAACTTTTGCATGTTTAGCACAAAAACTATAACCTTTTGTCTTAGTTTTGCCCCATAGTATTTAAATTGTTGCTAAAAATACTAATGTAAAAATATATATATATATATTTTCAAATATAGAAGCTGAACAAACTGAAACACATTTTTCTTTTAAGTTATTTTTAATCACAGCACAATGACATAAATCCTGATATGCAATAACAAGAGAATCATGAACAGGTTTGAATGGAGAGTTGATTTTAAATTGAATGGTGACCTCAAGAATCAGAATTCAGAGTAAAAAATACTCAATCAAAGGTGTCGTAGTGTACTGTATCTTAAAATCATATTGTATAAAATCATATCGTGAGATACTGAAAGATTCCCAGCACTAACACAATAAAAGGCATAAGAACAGATCAAGAAATGACATATAGATGAAATTATCAACACTGACTACAAGGAAAAACACAGTGAGAAAACTCAAGAAAGTGGAGGAGAGAAAAAGAGGTGGGCAGAGGAGAAGAGAAAACAAACTAGCTTTCTGGGAGAGAGGGTGAAGGTGAAAAGGTGAGAAAGTCACAACTGGAGAAGCCTGCAGGGACCACAGAGTCAGTGTTAAACTCTTGGCGGGTTGGAGGCCAGCAGCCGTCATGCTTGTGTTACCGTGATGCTAACTTCATGGCTAGCACCTCTGTTCTCTCCCAAACACATCCAGGGCAAAGAATGCATCACCTCGCAGGCCAACAATAACCATTAACATCCATCCAGCTGACTTCAAGGCCTCGATTACCGCAAAGGGGAAGGACACTAACGAGAAACGGTACAAAGAACCAATAAAGTAAATCTAGTACACCACCAAACACTCACAACAACATGACTCCACCAGAATTAGTATAACTAGAGTTAGGTCCAAACTGTATTTGCCACCTCTGAAAGAAAGAGAATGATGACTAGCTTAGTTTGATTCTTTGGATAAACTTTGTCTTTCTCTTTCTGCTCAGCCTCGCTGGGCCAGACCGCCTCATTTCGCCTGGCATCGACCCACTCCACTGAACCTTGGCTCTCAAAACGGCCCTGCCAGAAGAAAGCTCAAACCGCTGTTAGTGGCACCAAGCACCACATGAGGCAATTAGAGGGCAAGCAGAGCGGCACCTGTCATGAGACATGAAACCGCAGCTGTGTGCAAAAACCTCAGGCTTCTCCTCCAAAGCTGTTACACAGAAGATTGGAGTTTTACAAAGCAGAAAAACATAAAGATGAAGACTGGGACTTGGTGTTTTGCTGGGCAGTCAAGAAGACAAAGTGTTTGGCAGTGAATGAACTGTAGGTCACGAGGAGCAGTGTTTAGTTCCCGGCAGAGGTGCAGTGATGTGGTTTGGCACAGTCCTGTAACTCACAGGTGAGAAGGTGGTGAGGGATCATGTCTTTCTTGAGGCGAGGAGGTATGTTGTACATAAACATGAACCTTTGCAAGGGTTACAACTGTACAAGGTTCGCAAAATTCAGCATAAATAAGGGGCTGCTGTTCATGTGGGGGATTCAAGGATGTTCCAAAATAGTGTAGGCCGGTATGAATAATATTTCACGGTATGAGTAATTTCATATCACGGTAACGGTATATATCACGGTATGTTTTTTTTTTCTTCCTGTAAATTCAATTAATGGCTTAAAAATAACCATATTGTTGCATTTGTTCATTTTCCTTTTATTTTTAAACTCGGGTTTGTACACAAATGCCAACAAAATGCCAGACCAGATCACCAGTGTGGTGATTTTTTATCATATGGCGTTTGTTTAGTTTTTGGTGCGGCGGGTGCGCCACGCATCTTTTGGCTTTCATCATAGAGCTTGGCGTGTGTCATCTTTAGGTGGTGGAAGAGGTTGCTGGTGTTTCCACCTCCAGCAATGACAGCCACACGACACTCTTTGCATAGTATTGTTTTTTGATCATTGTTGGGTTTTCTAAATCCGAAGAGTCTCCAAACAACCGATGTCGCGACTCGCGCCCTTTCTCAGAACGAGTTCCTCCTCTTCTTCCTCATGTTGGGTGGGTCGGACGGCCTCCTTTTGCTCGGTACTGCCACTTATCTCCGCATCCACCATCACCACCACCAGTGAAGCTGTTTCTTCTTCATCAAAGCTATGCCAAGCAGTCTGCTGGTCACACTGGTGATTATAGGGAACACACCTAAACCTGACTAATCAAACGCAGCGAACAAACTCCACACAGAAATGCACCCAAACGGATGCGTTCCGGCTTTTCTGTTATCGAGCGCAGACAACTACACACTAACCCAGAGAGATGCAGCAGACATCTGCTCTCTCTCTCTCTGGTATAAATGGCATAGCAAAATGTTCACCGATAGACACTTTTATACCGCCACATGGTATATACCGTCATACTGCCAAACTCTATTCAAAAGTAACTCATCTCTCAGTAATTTGTCAGACAAGTCCAAGAGTAAGTACACTCTGAGTGTTTTGAAGTTACAAGTGATTCTGGCTCCCCCTTGATGTCCAGCTATACCTTAGTTCCTCATGACGATGCGTGGCTTCCTGGTTGTTGGAAGGCTCCGCCCATCTGAGATTGCTGACAAGCTGCACCTGCACAAGACCTAACACTCTGCTGGTATGTAGACCTGGTTTATAGACTGGATCTAACATTAGCAGAGCTAGCACCACCGGCCTTCAGTCTAGCTTGAGGTTTACATGCGTTTGTTGGTTAAATGTTTAAACACCAGTTTAACCAATCAGTCTTCATAAACCTTTATCTCTGTGTTCAAGATAAAACCCACTTTATGGTTTACAATGAAGTTTCAGACTAACTTTTGATGCTTTAGTTAAAGCTGCAACTTGCCTATGTTGTCTGACAAAAACTGGGCAGACCAAAGGAATGAACAGTCCTTTGATTCCCTTATATATCAAATCTGATGGTAAAACTTGAAGCTGATACTGTTACCATCATTTAGTAACTTTGAAAGAAAGTGACCCACAGCTTGAACGGGGTTAAGTTTGTTTTAGCCGGACAGGAGAAGTGTTGAAGGGTTGTAAACAACACCAGCTGGAAAGAGGAGCCTGTTTTAAAACGTTCCCTCTAGAAAACCCACGGGATCCGAGTGTTATCACCTCAGATCTGACTGCCGATTATATGTTCCCAGGCTGCACGCCTCGAGGTTATCATAACTAATCATTAAAACCTGAAGCTTTTGGAGGATATCCTCTTCAGTCGCTGCAGAGAAAGCGGTTATCTTGACAGCTAGCTGAGCAACATCACATTCAATCTGACTGAGGGACAGGCTCGGCACAGCCTCAAAGATCAGATAACAGCTGCTCTCTCACCAGTCTGACAGAGAGCTTCCCCATCTCTCGGTCCTGGGGGATCAAATAACAACTGTTCTGGGGCCAGCGTGGTCCACAAAGTCTCCATCGACTGGCCTGAGGGAGCTGCTCGCTGCCCTGCAAGAGAGAAGCAGGAAGGAACTGGGTGCTTATGTCATTACCGACGGGGTAATTGCAGTGGAGTGCCATTGATGCTGAGAGCCTCTTAAGAGGTGTCAGGATTGATTTGGGTGTGGACGGGGCCCCGAGTCTGGCTCATGTGTGTTCTCACCTCGAGCTGACACGCCAAACGCATGTTCCCCCTCTGCTGCAGCCCCCAGGGGAAGCCATTAGCCATGCAGACATGGTAATGGTGTCATTTGAGCCAATCGAGTGTCAAATGAGAGTCAACGCCACGGCTAACTAGCCACTGGGCAATTGCTTTAGCACGCATAATGCTGCTTCACCGCACACCTCCGTGTTACTGTTGGTCAGGGGAAGGTGTCTCTAAACATGTGCCGGTACGGTTCCTGGAAGGTTACAAGAAGAACTAAATCAACCACTGCATGATGACAGAGCAGACAGCTAATGTTGTAAAGCAATTAATGTCTGTAATGAATACAGCGCCCCAGAGCCGGCAGTAATGAAATATCATCATCCAGCTAGCATACCTCTGTGATGGTCGACCAGTATACCAACCCTGCTAGTTGTTAATTTTAGGGCACGGAAACGTTTCTCTTGCGCCTTTAGCCACACCCTCTAAGTGACATCACAACAGGTTTTGGCCTTTTCCAGGTGGTGATGGACTCTGCTGTAACTCTCCTGATTAGATTATGGCTAAGTGGCAACGTCTGGTACAGGAAAATGAAGCCAATGCAGAGGCGCAACGAAAGTGCAGTTCCCCAAGTGTCCAGTAGAGACCTGCACCAAATGCTTAAATTGTTAAGTTTAAAAGCAGCATTGAACACGTTTACAGCATGGTCCAAAAGCAGGTTTGGACTCCGAGGCACATTAATACAGATAATTTGCAACAGCTACACACTAATTTAAGTTTTTTGTTTGCATTGCAAAGAGAGGCGCCAATGTTACAACGTTATGTAAACAAGCTGCATGCACACTAAAACTCATAGACAACAGAGAACGCTGGAGTATGAATGCCAGGACTGTAGTCAGCAGTGTATATTTGCAATGTAACGCCATTGAAGAATACTATCCACCAGCAAATACAGGCACTCAATGAAAACAAGCTAACATTTGCAAGTGCTAATGTGGTTATGACATCCCTGTTTCCATCATTTGCTAGCTGACACAGCAACAGAAAGGGTGGCATTTACAAAAAGAGGTTCCACAGATTTCAATTTCACAGTTCAAACTGCCATTTCCACACAAAAGTACAGCTAAAACACAACAATTGTTTACTTTTTCATACTGTATACTACTCTGTGAAAATAGCCTCTAGATAAGCCAAAAGTTAGTTGGAGGCAAACTTACCAATATGGGAGCCACTGTCTACAGCAGTGCTAATGTTTGTAGGACACTGTGCTTCAGGTACAGTGCTGTTTAAAGTGCACATGCATACAGAGGGAAACATAGTAACAATGGGGAACAAGAATGGAAGTAAAGAACGGAAAAACTAACTTTTGACCCACCAATGTCTCTAAATGAAAAGTGTACCAAAGTTATTGCAGTGTGTACCAAATGTCAAGGCAATCAATTCTGTAGTGATCTGCACTCTCTCAGTTATTGCAGTTTACTCCCTGATAGCAGAATCATGAGAAAAATTTGACCATTAATTCCTGCAAATGCCAAGCTTGGCCAAGCTATTGACTCCCAGTCGATCAACCAGCTGACAAAATGATATTGCCGTATGCAGAACCAAGTGATCGCTCAAAAAGTAAAACTATATCAATTATATAGTTTTACTAGAGTCATTACAAAGCTTTTTGAATTGAATTGTCTCCTCACCTCCTTCTCTACACTTCTGTCTCAGATTCATCGCACACCAGTTGATGACGCGTAGCAGACGCTGGAAACACTGGTTGTTCTTTGCTCATATTTTACATTGACAGGTACGGGGCAGTCGTAGTACCGAATCGCCAAGGTGACGAAAGTTTTCTTCATCCATGTCTGCCATATGCTGAATGCATTACACCTCGTGTGTGTGACATTAACGCCAACAGCTAGAAGGTTACATACACTAAAAGGCCGTGTTTTCACACTTGCGGTACCTTTCCGGGAATTTGTGTTCATTTGTCTGTGCATGTATGTGTGTGGTAATCTCCTCAGGGATAGAGGTCATGTAGAAACACAGGCGTACGAATGTCCACACGTGTCATAGTCTTTGCCTACATAAACAGCAGTGAAGCTGTGAAGGTGTTTGTCCATATGATTATGACAGCTCAAAATCAAGGATCCACACTGGCGGTAAGAAAACCATCACACAGTAAATCAGAAAATCTGTCACATTCTCACAAGCTGTGGTATCAATCAATTAAAAACTGACGGCCACAATTTAATCTGAGAATAAAATGGCTGTCTACTTTCTGATATCTACATTAAGAACCAAGAAAACTTGGTTCCACGATATCATGGAAACAACTTTCCCATCCCAAGTCTGGAATAACTTTATTGTTGGAGCTGAATGTAAGTGTTGCTATTATCGTTAAAGGGAGACAAGGAAATTACACCCCTACAGAAGAATCTGAAGAAGACAAATAGTTCTGGGGTTCAGTGACTAGTGTAAAAATTAGCTTTTTTAATGTACACAGAAAAGTGAGCCTTTGATTTATAAAGCTGCGCAGTGACTCATCCCTTCCAGATTTATGGCCCATAGTTTAATCTTTTTGCAGACTGAATTAACTCCCTTTATATGCTTTACTCACTTTAGTGGACAGGTCTGGAACCATTCTTTTCATTTCATTTTTCAAGGGGGCTTTGGAAACATTCTTTTATGAAAGTTGACTAAAGTGCCTTTCGAAGTGACTGTTTAGACCTATAGCAACGTTGCATGTGATGTAGCACATGGCAACAGAAATGTGGAAAAAATGTAAAAATCCAAAACAATTAAAGCTTATCAATTCTGCTCTCATGGGCCCCATGTGGTAATGTTATATTCTGCAAAAGTCACAATCCAGAGGTGAATTTAATGTTGAAATTCATGGTGAAATCGGCAAGATAAAAGCTAGTTAGCTAGAAACTGCCTTTTTTTGTCAGTGTAAACACAATTGTTTGGAGGAAAACAGTAACAAGAAAGACTTAACAGCAGCATCAGTAAAGACTCCAAGCATAAAGAAGTTTCAAATATGGCACCAGTATCAAGAAAAGTAACAATCCCCCTCTTATTCCAATGAAACAAGTCTTAGATTTACCGTACCACCCGCCTCTCTGCTGTCTGTATTTTAGAGCTTAATGGACACATGCAAACATAATGAGTGAAAGTATTACTGAACGATGAAACGCACACATGCAGTAACACCAGCCATCATGTTTACTGTTCAGAGACACTGCTTCTTTTTTCTTTGTAATTAAGACTCACACGTACACGCAGCTTTTCCACCAGCAGCTACATTCAGCTTTTTCCTATGGCCCACCATAGGCTCCAGATAAATAAGCACGTTTGTTTTGTGCAATCAATCAAAAATGATGGTTAATAGATTCTATTTTGTGTTGATTTGCATCCATTTGAACCTTTTGTACGACTGATCTGAGGCGTCCACTATGACTGAATTCCCCCTTAACAAAGAAAAAAAGAAAAAGGTCACACAGGGATTTAGTGGAACAAACCTTTCACACAATCTAGTCCCGCAAAAAAATTTATATAACATCTTTCCTGAACAGAGAGCTGGTCGATTTTTCTTTGTTGACATCCTTCAGCCCATTCACAAGCTCAGTGTTTTTGTTCACTGAACCTTGATTCAGTCAGTGTCACTTTAAGAAATTCAAGTGTTACTAAAGCATGTTATAAGAGGAGTTTCTCTGTTATGATAATTGAGCAGTAGGAGCTTCCAGTGCGCTCTGACCCACGGTCTCACTGCACTCAGTGTTATTAATCACGCCGTGGTTTTGGTCGAGCTAAAACTTGCAAAACAGTCGATTCCTCTTCTCTGATCTGTCCTGGCTGCTTTTTTTTCGGGGCTAATGCATCAAAATCAGAGCCTGGGAGTCCTGGAGTGGCCCACTGACATCTCTCTCAACAAGGGTCTGATGAGCTGGGCCGACAGTCACCAACATTTCACTGCGCCAGTTTCAACACATCTCGAAAAACCGCCTCCTGGAGCATCGCCGCTCGCCCTGCTGTGAATTACCATCAGCTCTTTGTCGGCAGAAGTCTGGAATCGACCTCGGCGGCACTGAGATACGGCTGCACATGGCGGGTTTTCACGGCTCTCCCGCTGGGTGTCAGACATACAGGATCCAGTGTTCCTCCTCTGTTTTAAACACCCCATGCACCCCATTAGCACTAGCATCATGCTGAAATACACCTTGACACACACCCCCGACTTCTCAGTATCTTTCTTCATCTCTGTCTCTCCCTCGCTTTGGGACCTGTTAACGCTGGCAACCAACGGAGCTGCACTTCACTCAGGTATCAAATAGGAAATGGGGTTTACTGTATTACCCCCCCTTTTATCCCCTAAAGCATGTGTGTGTGTTCAGCATATGTGGGAACACACCACAGCTTGAAACAAAGTGCGTACGACGCCACAAAAATAAACACAAGAATGAGTGTAAATTCAAACAGGCAACAAAATGTAGAGGCAGAGAAAAGAAAATGATAAAAAAGGCGATGCTGTTAAAAAAATAAATAAGAATTAAAGTGTGACTACAGTCGAGTCAAGACTTGTGCTGCCTTTTCTTTTTTTCCTCTCTGAGAGTGTCGAAGGGGGGAGCAGAGGGTAAGGCCCAAAAGGAGCGTTTGATTAAATCTGCGGTTGACGTGTGGGACAGGTGAGATTGATGAGGTTCCTCTGAGTTTCACACTGTGCGGAGAGCGGGGGTACAGGAACAGAACGCTGCAGTGTGGCGGGCCAGGGCTCGGGGCCCGCTCGCGCCGTGGGGTCCCTCGGCTGATTAATGGGACTGGAGGCCCTTCAAAAACAGCACTCCCCGCAGACAGGGCCCGACGGTGCTCCAAAAATAACCAGGCAGGGGGAGGCAGTCAGAGCCTCCAGCCCTAACAGGCAGCAGCTTCTGAAGGAAGCAGACTTCAGAGTGACCTGGGGGCAGATAACCAGGAGGAGCTACTCAGGACAGGAAGCTGTAATCCGGCTCATTAGAAACTAAACGTTTGAGGACTTTTCTTGCTTATGTGAGGCGACGAACGCTCAGAACTGACATTTTATCAACTCAAGAACCCTATTACCTGCTGATATCATTATAAGAAACGCTAAAGCTGCAACCGACTCTTTAGTTATTTCAACTGACATTGAGTTTATTCTATTAAATAAAGGGATGGGAATTGATAATATTTTATTGATATCGATACCATTATCAATTCTGCTTATCGATTCAATTCTTTAACGATTCCCTTATCAATGCCTTCCCTTTGACTTAAAAAAAGGTAGACTATAGGTTTTCATCATGAACTCAAAATTTTAATTGAGTCTCTGATAAAAGAAAAAAAATGGATGTATTTGATGCTGTACTGCCTTGGCAAATGTTTAGGTATGTTGCTTGTGTTTCCACCTTTGCATGTTAAGGTGGTTCTTTGCAGAACCAGTTCTCAATTCCCATCTCTGATTAAATATTTAATTATTTGCTATACAAAATGTCAGAAAATGAAGCCCAGTGTTTCCGAAACTCCCCAAAGGTATTATCTTATCATGTCAAATCAATTGCCCCTGGTGGGATTAATAAAGTTGTCTAAGTCTAAGTCTAAGTCATGTCATTATTCATTAAGTCACAATCTTTTCTGGTAGCCGATGGCAACATGACGTCTTTTCATTGCTGGCCCACAGTCTGCAGTCTTCTCCTGGTTATCAGCCATCAACTTCTCCTTAAGCCATTTAATTTCTGTTCAAGTCGTCGCCCTCATGCCACAGTTAGCCACAGTCAAGAAGTAGGGACTGCAACTGAATTGAAAGAAGACCCATTCCAGATCAGAACCAGTTACAATCGGCTGGAGCCATCAACATTTTTTGCCTTTAAACTTTGCAGTCCCCTTTCAAAACATTGTCGACATCAAAATATATATTTTTTTGTCCAACAACAGAAAAGTGCGACATCTGTATTTGTTACTCAAAGTATCGATATCTAGAATTGGAGTAAAGATCATTGCACCAGCTCAGAAAAACAGGACTCTGCTGTCTGGATATTTTGTCCCAACAGATGAGACGATCATGCTCAGCCACAGCAGCGGTTTTTCACAGCAGTTTTATCAATTTTCCTCTCACTTTAAAACCAGTCTCTGTTTAATCTGGACTGCGACTTCACGCCAGCTGAAACTAAAACAGCTCTGCGCACAATATTCATTAACGTTTGTGCGCAGCTGGAAAAGCAAAGACCCGTCTCGCTCGTATGTTACTTTTCTAACAGTTAAATAAACACACTCATGTCAGAGCTACTTGTTTCCATTCGGAGGGTCCTTCCAAATTGGTTCAGATACTTTCATTATACCACTTCCTTCTTCAGTGTTATAATGGACATGTTTAATTTTATTTGACTTGCAGGAAACAAATGACTGACAGGCCAGTTAATGATACCTGAAAATCCCATAAAAGTCGCAACACAGCAAAAAATAACCAGCACACACGTCATAAATTTATCAGGGTGTAATTATGGTAACACTCAGGGCAAACCTCCACCGGCAGCTTCTCTGTAATTTCCCTCTGTAAAGGAAAGCCTCTGTTGACCTGAGTGCAGCTCAATGGCAGAATACCAGATACTCTGTACGTTTTAATCAAAAATGTCAGACGCTTAAAAAGCAAAAAGCGAACCCTATCAGACATAAAGTCAAATACAGGAAAACTGTCGAGATCCCCAGGCAGGAGTGTGGAAGCACAGCTACGGGTCGATACTGTAATTCAACTTTAAAGATATGAATTTTTTGAAAAGAGTATGTTGACATATGGGAGAGTTTTAAGAAACGGGTAATGTGTAAAGCGCCTGAGTGAGGGACCTGGCTGGAGAACAAGTACGACAAACCTAATTACACCGAGGGGACGGCTGAGAATTAGCAGGCCTTTCTGACAGTTGAAAATAAATAGGGCAGTTAATGAACATCCTCAAAGGGGAGGCCATGTTTCCTCGCTCTCGCCGGCTCTCCCATGTGGCGCTGCAGCCGCCCTAATGGTTTTAACTGACACGCGGGTGAGTGAATTTAGAGCAGAGGAGAAAAGAGAGGCAAATTAGAAGTCACTTCCTCTTTCCTGGAGCCCAGGGCTGACATGACTGATACCAGTCACTAACAGGACCGCAGGCCAGGGAGGAGCTGTGGGGAGCGCTGTGTTTACAGCTGACATGAGGCTGGAGGTGGTCGTGAGGCAGAGCACGTCTTTCAATGCTAAGCCTAAAGCTGCAATGTCCATTTACTCAGATTAGTTGATCAGATCAGATATGATGCGCTTCAAATGCTCAAAATTTTGTAGATGATCAATCATGATTGAGTCATGGTTCAGACAACTGATAACTAACATCAAGTCTTGTTAATACCCTAACTCAGCCTGTCTCGATCCCTATACCCAAAATCTATATTTTCAAGCATTCATTCTGGGTCTTTTTGGCAGCTTTTCCACCAATATAGAGATGGAAACAACTTGTGTTGAAGTCATGAAATGACCTTTATGGCTTTACAAGTTTGAGAGTAGCCATTGGTACCCACCTATATGTCTCCCATCAACTGATAGGACAACACTGAAAAAGCTTTTAAGGGAACCTTGAAAACACGTCCAGGGGAAACGCTGCCATCTGTGTATCTCTTGTTGTGGACATGGAATCATGGATTAGTGTGGACATCTGAAATTGTAACATCATACACATGTTTAAAAGCACAGAACAGCAAAATAGGTCACCTTAGAGAAATTTTTAGTCATTAGAGAGTTTAGTCATTACAGAAATTATGTAAACAAATAGGGAGAGCAGAGGGACAATTTTGAAACTATGGATCATTTTAAATATAATGCGTGGAAGCATTACAGCCAAAGACAGAAAGATGGTGATGTACAAACAAAAAAAAAGTAGAAACTGCCAGACTGTGGTTACCTACACATTGAGGAATATAAGTAACACCAGGAGCCGCTTGGCTAAATGTCACCTCAAAGAGATGTGAGAAGATATGAAGAAACAAAACAGCAAAAAGACACAAAAGAGAGCATTTAAAGCCTCACTTCCCCATAACAGCGCCAATAGTGTTCATAAGATATATGCCAAAGACCTACAGTCATATTCTGTGGTCAACAACAAAGGATATAAAAGTTTAAAATCGTATCAAGGCTAGACTTCAGTCAAAAACTTTTAGCAGCTTTCTTGCTTCTTTTTTAAAACATTAAAACAAAGATTGCACTTAGGACTTATTGGGATTTTATAATATCATGACACTTGGACGCTGCAGCATCCCTGAAATTTAATCATCAACAAAAACAAGGATAAGTCATCCAACCAGGACCTCCAGTCAAAACCTGATCAAACCAGAACCTTCAACAGTTTTCACTGCAGGATTTTTCGATATTTAGTAACCTGAGCACAAGTTCAGAGTGACAATACTTCAAAAGCTAAACCACAACTGTCTAACAAACGTTTCTGAAACATGTCACACTTCATCTTTGTGTAAGTCCGCTGAGATTCAGCCACTTTTTATACATTTTCCAGTGCAGAAAAACATCTGACAAGCGTCGAGTTTGACGCACATCACACCTCAGGGCATTGTGAGCACGCCGCTTTAAGCTCTCGGTCCTCCACATTTGGAGAAAATTAAAACAAATGAAAACCAACACTTCATTTCTGATGTTATTGCTGGTAATGAAGCACTGCTGTGATGCTTTTTGGAGCCCCTCCTCCCCCCTCACTTCCACTCCTTCTTCCCTCTCGTCGCACACCTCTGCAGCCTCTCTAGAGACTTCTCCTTAACAAAATACAGACGGGACAGCGGTCAACGCACATACTGTACTACAGCTCATACATCAAGCAGAAACAGGGCTTTGGGCGGATGGTTGAGGTCTTAAACTGCAGCGTAATGCAAGAACAGCGCAATAATTAGCATGGTTGTTGTACTGAAACGCACAGGTTATTCTTATGTGTGCCAGGGGACTCGTTGTTTGACTTAACACCCCATTTGTCCCACCAGGGCAGCCGTGCAATGATAGAAAACCCTCAGCTGAGCTAAAGAAAGCGTGTTTCTTGAGACCATGAAAGTGAAAAGCTGCACACAGAGTGCTACTGAGGAGATGATGTCATGAGCCAGACATACAGACAAGAAAGAAGGTTTCAGTTCACAAATAAAAGCTGCTACAGTCAAGAGTGTAAAAATAGGGAACGTCTGAGCCACTCAGAGCTCAGAAATAAATGTCTGCTACAAAATAGGCACCATTCAAACTCATGCAGAGACAGCAATCTATGGAAAATGTCCAAATTTATACATTATAAACACACAAGTTTAAAAACTAGCCAGCTAAAATCTAATTTTACAGAATAATATTTAATCGGTGATGTAACTTGATGTAAGAGAAAGCAGCATTTTCTTCACATTGCTTTGCTAAGCTCAACTTCAGCGCATAATTCCCTCTACTTCCCAGAATCCCTTTCCCCCTTGGGATTGGGCAAAACCACGTTGCTTTCATCTGTACTGAAATCTTCACTCTTTGATTCGGAGGTTTGAAGTCTTTGAAACACTTTCTGCTGTCAAACTAAAGGCAGCTGCTCCAAAAACCGAGACTTCCTGCTGCACTTCAACACACATTCACTACAGAAGTACTGAGTGTTGGGAGAGACTGCTACAACTAACAGTTTGTTCAACAGACAATATATTTATGGTCTCAATATATTTATGGTTGTAAAATACAACAATTTAATTAAAAAAAATTAAAAACACACTGTGTATAATCCAAAGATTCTTTGCAAAATACAATCTGGTGCATGGTTTTTGAAGCCAGTAACATGTTTCAGATGGATTTTTTATTCATGAAATAGAGAATTATAATGAGTTAAATGATTGATTTAAGAAGATGACTCATATTTTGGTCAATAGCGAGATGAAACTACTGTACATTATCCTGTACATTGTGAAAGAATTGATATTAAACACCAGTTACTAACTGTTCTGCATTTGATTTCCTGTCATTTGGGATGAGGAAATGGCTTTATAATTTAGACGATATTATGGTAACAGTGGAAATTTAAGCAAATGTATACAGCAAGGTGAGTGTCAGTTATCACAGGCGCAAAAGCTCAAAACTAACATTTTTACCACCTTCTCAGAACTGTCCTAAAGCAATTCTTTGTTTGTTTATGTTTGTTGAAAGACACAGTTACAAACCAAAAAGTAAATCTAAGTGAGCAAAAACTAACTGTGTTCGCTCCTTTTGCAAATACACCATTTACTATCTATTCAGTGGCTGGAGAGGCTGCCTGCAGCTTCTACAGACACTATTATTAGTTCCCAATCAGTATTATTCATTTTAAAATGCCATTAATCTGCTGATTATCTCCACTAGATAAATTCTTTAAAAGTGTCTCACCATAGTACAGGACAACCAACAAAAAAAGAGAGGCAGTACAAATGACAACAATAATTGACTGAGTTTCTCTCGGTGCAGCTTACTGTGCCTCATCAAGATCTTCCTGCACAGATAAAAACCTTTTTACACAGTTAGGTTGTTTGTGTCTCACTTCTGAATTTTATATCAGCCAGTTACCAACAGTGTGGCTACATTATACAAATGCAGCCACACTGTTGCACAAAACAGGAATTTCCCTTTGTGGGATTAATAAAGGAGTATCATATCTTATCTTGCACTTCAGATCAACTCCTGTGTGAATGTGAAAATTAGAAGTTCTCCAAAAAGCAAAAATGAACATTACAGTCCATATCAAAATCTGAGTTTTTGTTTTATCCATCAGAGCCCATATGAGTGTTACCACAACACACAAAGTCTTACAGCAAATCTATTAAACTGAAAAAGTGTTTTATTCACACAAAGGCGGTTCAGCAGAGGAACTCTCCCTCTACACAAACTCTTCAATACATGACTACTGCCCAAATTAAACAAGGTAACATCATTTCTATCACCAAATATCCAGTCAAATAATGGATGGCAAAGACCAGACAACAACACCACAGGTGAATATTTGTCAGTTATTGATACTTTGTGTTATTGAAAGTGTGGACTACTGTGAACTGAGACGTAATAATACAGGCCCCTCTCTGGTCAATACTGTAAATAAGTTATGATAAATAATGTATGGTATGATGTGAAGATTCTGCACAGAAACACATTTTTACCTTTCTTGTTATTAGATTTTTGAGACCAGACCATTTTAAAGAGTGATACAAGCTTTCAGTACGGAGGTTGATACGTTTTTAATTTCTACCTCTTTCGCTGGGAATATTTTAATTCCATAACAGTAAACCGCTTGAGGTGATATATCCAAAAATAAGTTCTAAACAAGCTCCTGTAACAAACTACATATGATTGAGTAAAACAGACGGTATTGATAATCCAGCAGAGGTTCAGTCCGTCCGTGTGCAGACAGACTGAAATCCGAACCCAACAGCGGTACAAACATCACATTAGACAGAGAGTAAAGTCCGGAACATTTACCTTGTTTTCTGCACATGTTTCGGCGCACAGAAGTCTTTTTGGAGAATTCAACTTCTGAATGAACCTGGAGAGATGTTTGAAACTTGTCCGTAAGGGGAGCGCCATCTTGGATCGTGACGTCGCACTACGGTAGCTCTGAGAGGACAAGAGGAGAGGAATCGCTTTGTCTAAAAAGCCAAAAAAACAAAAAAACAAAAAAAAAACACACAAAGCAAAGTCTCAGAGAGCGATAAAATGGCGCGGCTTTTTGTCTGTAAATCAAAGTTTTAAAAATGGCAAACAAAACAGTCTTACTGATAAAATATTGACTCATGTTTTTAATATTTCATTTACTAGATTGAATGGACCTTTTTCCTCAAAGATTTTGATGCATTCACGATAAAATAAAATAAAATAAAATGAAAAATCTTTCCCTCATAATTTTTGGGGATCAATTGTTTTTTGGGAAGCTAAGAAAGAACCTTTATCTAATTATGTAACCATAGTATTAAAAACTTCCCTGAAATATCAGATAAATGAATTATAATAAAATAAAAATTCCATCATTTTATTCAAATACTGAAAAAATGTGACTTTTCGAGCGATGCAAAAATCACAAGGTACTGCTGTAAAATTTAATGCATTACTGCAGGACAACTTGCCCAACACTTTAGAAAGTAGTTAAATGACAATCTTAAACATTTACTGCAGCTCAGTGCAACATATACATTTAAGCAGCGATAATATCTATATAAATAGTCATGAAAAAAAGAGAGGTCAAAGTCAAACAGATTACAGCAAAGATTACTGAGCTAAATTCATGATTAAAAAATGTTGCTGATGCTTCAACTCTACAATTTGCAGAAAATCATGATCTGGGTTTATCAAATGAAGTCTTCACTGGACTTCCTTCCCTCTCTGCTTAACCACACACCAGCTGCCAGCTCTGCTCTGCTCTGTATGCATGTCTGACCCTTGTGCAGCCTATGGAGGAGGAAGATATACAGCTCCCCCTCCGCCCATGTACAGTAGGCTATAGAAATGTGTCAGACATGCGGTTTCCTCGTTGTCTGACGTCTCCATGCTAATTGGGTGATGTTGTGTCTAGCCTGGCTGCTACCTTAACAACCATATTTTCCCAGGGAGCAGCTGCAGAGCTCCTCCATACCTCCCCTCATTACAAAGTGTGGATATATACACACTATAAGTCATTATGCTACACAATGGGTAGGGTTACATTATGTTTGCAGGGCAAAGCTGCCGCTCAGACCTCTTATTTCTCAGACATCTGCTCCTGATCTTTTCCTCTCCACCTTTTGCATCTGGTTGCATTTGCTGCAACAAAATACAGGCTATCATTCCATATTCATTATTATTTCCCCAGGCGGTGAGGCTGAGCTCTTTGGTGCGTTCGATTCAGAGACCTGAGCCTGTATGTTCTCTCACGCCTTGATGATGGGAGAGCTTGGTAGAGTAGAGAGCAACAGTGTATGCCTGCTGGTGTGAGCATGTGTGTGTGTGAGTCGTCAGCTCCTGTTTCCTGGCCACCCTGTAAAAGTTGGTCCTCCTGGTCTTTGTCTCTTCTTGTCTCTTCTTTTCTTTCTTTTTTTTATGGTATAAGAGGATTTCCTTCCAGCTTTTTATTTATCTATTCATGTATTCTTAAAGTGTGAGTCTCATGGTAAAATATGTGGGAAATGCAGCATGGTCCAGATTTCTTGTTCCTCCCTTTATAAAAGGTTGTGTGGGATAGATAAAATTAATGCAAAATATTTACATTATTATGATATCAATCACACAGTTTATGTTAATGAGTGTGCTTTCATTACCTATTTATTATCTGGAGGCATTGGGTATGCAGTAAGTGAATATAGATTAAAACTTTAGCTTTGATATGCTGTTTATGGGTGATGAGAAAGATGTGTTTTCAACAGATGCCAAGATGCCATTGATCGGCCTGATTAATTGGTCTACCTCTATTGTTTGATGAATGTATTTAATTTCAGAGTCTAGGGTAGCTTTTAGTCACACACATCTTATTTTAATTTGGTTGTTAGGTCCATCCTTGAAGTGTTTAATTTTCAATTGTAAATGCAGGTTGATGGCTGCTCTGTTTTTTTTTACATGTGCAAAATTTAGCGAATAAATATGACTAACACAGTCAATCTTGACCTCTTTGCCTGGCACTCGTCTTTCAGGCAAAGCTAGAAGTAATTACCAAGTAAATAAGAAGTCCCTGACATGGAGTGTGATACAATTACAAGTTGCTTTTGCTGATTTTCAATAAGTTATTATTTGTGTAATCAGTTTTATAATGTAAAGTAGATTTCACCTAATATATTTTTGTATATCATGTTGTCGTAGTCTGGTACTTAAAGTGTAGGATAAAACTTACCAAACCAAAAAGAGTGTAAGTTGTTTCATGATTTTCAAGCAATTTTATAGATTGGTTTTTAAGCACTTAGGGACTGTGGATAAAGTTGTAATTGTACAATTAATTGTATATCTCTCCATATACATGCAGAACCTAAAATAAGATGATCAAATATGAAACTGTTGAATCTACGTGAGTCAGGAAAAAGACTGACTGCTGCAGCTGCAACTCAGAGGTCAGTCCTAAATGAGAATAATCTGCTGACTTCTGCAGTATGATGTTACCGCAGTGTCCTGATATAGACTCACATGGTCTCTCAGAGCGTTAATGTGGTTAGATTTCTTTCACTCTTTGTTTCAGTGGGAGTTAACGTGTTAAAAAGTGTCCATCACTCAGTTTGAAGCAGAGAAGAAGAAACAGAAACTCAGCAGTCTGACCTCCAGAGAGGAGCGGGAGGCCGAACAGGTGATGAGTGAAGACGTTGTGCTTTCATCACAAACCCGCTCTCCTTTCACCATCGGGGTGATTCATTTTTCATCCTCATCAGGCTCTCTGCACCTCCTGCTGCTCCTCCTCGTATTAAATGCTTTTCTAACCACAGGCTTGATAATTGCTTTCATTGTCTTCCACCTCCACACTCCCGTCCTCCTCCTCCTCTTTAGTGCTCCCTAATTTCAACATTTCTCTGTCTCATTCTCATCCATCCTCTAGTCTCTTTTCCCTCCCAACATTTTTCTCATATTTGCAATTTCTGATGCTCTCGGAAAACTACTCTGTTAAATTTGAAAGCTCAAGCAGGTGCTTCACAATTTAAAAAGTACCACAGTTTTTGCATTTAAGTAAACAGCTGGAAATTTTGTTGCCTGTGCAGTTTGTGTCCCCTATGGATTTAAGGAGCATGACAGACTGATCTATGAGCTCTTCAGGAAGCAAAACCAGATTTCTCAAAACCCTGAAATCAGGATGTGATGTATATGTGCATAAACACAAACATGGGTTGGGCTACCAGAAAGCTAATGCAAAATGCAACCAAACTATGAGTCTACACAATATGTTAACACTTACAAACACACACCATCAATCTCACTTCTGAACACAGACTGTAATTTGTTCTCACACAGACAAGTCTGCAGGAGGCCCTCTGAGCCAAGGACACACGCTCAGAGGAAAGTCCAACTGGTGGCAACTGACACTACACCTGTCATAATACAGCCAGGCAAGGCATTATGGGAGGTTGGGGTGGGGGTCTGCTGAGTGAGGAGCCAGAGAAGTGTGTGTGTGTGTGACTGTTTTCTGGACCTTGGATCCTGACGCTGAAAGACGGGATCTCCCATCTGACTCTGCAGGCATTCAGAGTCCACAGGACGTCCACCACCCAAGTGGACGGACAGATGAATAGATGGATGGATGGATGGATGGACAGCTCACAGAATGACAGAGAGACACCTTGACAGACAGACAGTGATGGATAATGAGATGGACCAATGAATGATGGCTAAATCAGACAGGTTAGAGTTGAGAAGCAAGTGTCTGGATGGATGGACAGACAGAAGATTCAGTCAGAGGATGATTGGAGGATCCAGCCAGAGGGACAAAAACATAATAAAGTGTGATGCTGTGCAGTGCAGAGTACGTGTCAGTGATTGAATTGTCGGTTCGACCGCACACAGCCTGCAGCGTCACTCCCTCACCGGCCTGCTGTTCACAGAGCGGGAAGCCTCAGCAAGCATAATAAACAGTGAGGACAGAGTATTTTGTGTAAAGCAATGTTTGCTTCCCTGAGGAGAGTCTGGATTTCATTATGGATCTGTGTGACTGTGCATGTGTGTGAGAAACAGTGTGTGTGTTTGTCTGGTCAATGTGTGTCTACATACCAGTATATGCATGTGATTTGCATATGTGTGTTTCTGCAGGAGTGAACCACCTTTAGTCCGTCTGTGAAGGTTTGGGTGATAAAACGCGGTTCATGGGAAAGACGGGTTCTCATGAGTCCTGGAAAGCAGCAGACCAATTTTCCAGTAATTTGAAAACACATGAAAACAATAGAAGAAAAAGCTACTTGCCCTGTTCTGGAAAATTAAAAACTCCCCTATGATTGATTAATTTAATTGGTTTGAAGAAAAAAATGTTTGGAGTAACAGACTTGAACTAAATTTAGGGAAAAAATAAATAAAAAACGTTACTCAAACTAAAATGTATTCTAGTCCAAAGACCGAGACAAAACCTAAACTAGCCACCAAAATTCACACAGATCATCATGAGTAAACACTGAACATAGCATGAAATGCTAAAAGTGGTGATAAGATAATGAAACAGCCTAAATAGGTTAAAAAAAACTTAGTATTACTCTGAGATTTTTGACCTGCTGACATGGATTTAAAAAGTGCTTTGAGCTTTGCTCCAGCAGCGATGACTAAAACCTGTTCTGTCCTGGTCGAGCTGTAAAAAGTTCAAATTAAATTAAACTGAAAAGTTTATCAAATCAAAAATAATGTAAAGAACCATCATCCCCATTTAACATCTCAAAGTATTAATGATAAATGTGGAGTCTCCCGATCTCTATCAGCATCAACAAAGAAAGTATGATAAATGTTTTTCACCCTGCAGCAGATTTGCCTGGCTTTGTGCTCGTCATGTATTCATGCATTAAACAAGAATGTGTTCCCCTCAGAGCGAAACTGTCAACATGAATTCATTATTTCATCAGGTGGCCCCTGGTGGTCTGTTTTGTTTCAGGAGCCTTTAGTAGATC